CCCCCCCCCCCCCCCGTCCAATCCAAGGACGGATTGAAATCTAGAAAATTTGATGAATACTCTATGTAATTGAGAACCAGAAGAATATATTTTTTACAAAATGTTAGATCAAATAAAAAAAATTTCAACTTTACAAAAAGTGTATTTTTTATGCATTTTTTTTTAAATGTACTCTTTACCCCTGCAGGGTAAGTTTATTCATTGAAATGTATAAACCTACTTAATACAAGCTATATCATTGTTGGACAGTGAAACTGACAGCAATTTCCTTAGGAAATATTATTCTCAAGGGACTGTCAGCGTATTTTCAAGTGACCCTCTATGCAAATAGATTGTTAAGTACAATAGATGGCAACCTAGTATTTGTACACTCTCAGTACAGTTGTATTGTTACGTCACAAGTGTCAACTCATTTTTTGTGTCGGACAAAATTATTAATAAAAGTGATAATTTTAGAATAAAGAGCTTATCTTACAGTGAAAAAGGTGCAATTTAGTGTCTTATTTATTTTCTGTTTTTACGTTTTTTTATTTAATCTTGAAAAACATGTCAAATAATGTAAGAAATTTTTTTTTCCTTGTTATATTTGACACTTGTGACATTGTGTATAATTGATCCATTTCTCTGTTGCCACCTATTGTACTTGATAATCTATTTGCCCTCTATGCAAATTTATCAATGTTGATATATCCTTAAACTGTTTATTTTTATTTTTGTGGTTTTTCTGTAAAAGCGGCTCGCGCATTTTTTGGTTAGAAGAAGCACCGGAGAAATTATCAAACTAAACACTTTTTTCGAATCAGAAAACTACAGGATTCTTCCTAATTTTTTATCAGATTAAATTTTCATCTCACATCAATATATGTGATGACCATAGATAAATAAATAAACATAGATAGCTTATGTTAACGTACGCAAAATCACCAAGAATTGTACAGTCCGCGAACTCATACTTCTAGGGGTCAAAGTGTACTTCAATGATAAGCGGGGTGGTTTGGTGTTTTAATGGATTTCATAAATGTCGTCTTATGCGCAATCTATCTTTATCTATGGTGATGACTGGTGATAAAAAATGTTAATTTAGAATAAATATATCGTCTTGACGTATTTTGATTTTATATAAAAAATGCCTGATGGAACAAATTAAAATTCTTAATATATTTTTTATTTATAATTAGCTTGAAAACCCAGCTCTGTCTGGAATCTAAATTTTCTCTATAAAAGTCAACCTAATTTAACCTAGAATACAAGACAAATTGGATATTAATTATTATGAATAATGAATGAAAGATTAAATAGATAAAGATTAGGATGAATAATGAATGAAGGATTGAATAGATAAAGATTAGGATGAATAATAAATGAAAGATTGAATAAAACTAGTTTAGGATGAATAATGAATGGAAGATTGAATAGATAAAGATTAGAATAAATAATGAATGTAAGATTGAATGGATAAAGATTAGAATGAATAATGAATGTAGGATTGAATGGATAAATATTATCTTTAATAATGAATGAAATATTGAATAGATAAAGATTAGAATAAATAATGAATGTTGGATCGAATGGATAAATATTATCTTGAATAATGAATGAAAGATTGAATAGATAAAGATTAGGATGAATAATGAATGGATGATTGAATAGATAAAGATTAGAATGAATAATGAATAAAGGATTCAATAAATATTAGGATGAATAATGAATAAAGGATTGAAAAGATAAAGATTAGGATGAATAATAAATGAAAGATTGAATAAAACTAGTTTAGGATAAATAATGAATGAAGGTTTGAATGTATAAAGATTAGGATGAATAATGAATGTATAAGATTGTATGCAAAAGCAAACTATAGTAAACTAACACTAACTCTACTTAAACTTGTACAATATCAATTTATCTATGTTCTGAAAAAGGAAAAAGCAAGAAAACTTTATATCAGCGTCTCATAAATACAATAATAAAAAAGCCCTGCAAATTCTTTTTATGTAATAGTTCCATAAAACTTGATTAAAAACTTACATGGATTAAAAATTAAGATTTGAAAACCATGAATTGTTTTTAGGCTGTTTTAACGTTAACGAAGAGAGGAAACCGACCTGAAGGGCATCTGTACTTATCATTGAGTAGTTTTTAAGAAAATATCAAGAAGTTTGAACTCCCCCACAACTGTTAAACTTCATGTAAGACGACATTTAATAAAGTTGCATGTAATTTTTTTTTCTTCCAAAAACGACAGTTTTTATAAAGTTCGTCGTTTCGGTAACGATCGTTAACATAATTGTCGATAACATTTTTTTTCAAGAACGATCGTTTTTTCAAAAACGATCGTTTTTTTAAGAACAATCGTATGAAAAACGATCGCAAATCGTTAAATAAAAACAATCGTTTTTACAAACGATCGTTATTTGTTTTCTAAAAGTTCAAAACGATTGGGTCGTTTTTAAAAGCGATCGTTTTTTCCGAAAACGAAACGATCGTTTTTGAAAACGAAACAAAAACGATCCTTTACACAAACGATTAACAACCCAACTTGTGGCCGCAGCGCTTTTCAAGCTTTCTAATACAAATCTTATTTCGAAGATAAAAAGAAGTTAATTAAAGATTTTTATCAGTAGAGAACGAATGTTTTAATTCTAACACATGCTATGTTTGCAAAAGAATCAAAGAAAGCAAAGACGATTTGACAAAGAAAAGACTAAAAATATTAAAAAGAGAAAAAAATATAATCAAACATAAGTAAAAAATTGGCGCGAATTAATGAGATGCTTAAAAATGCACGTTTTGCGTAGAACCTATATCTTTTTCATAACCCTTAAGCTTATTTAAATTTTTTTTAACATTACAAATAAATCCATCATTTTTATTTCTAAAAGTTGTCAGTTCATTGTCGAAAAATTCTAACAATCCTCCACCAGTTTATATCAAATATATTGTAAACAATAAATATGTAACTTTCCTTTCCTTTGATTTCTTTTTTTTTAGAATTGGGGGGAAATATTCCCACAACCTCTATTTTTGGAGGTTTTTAAATATTTTCTCCTGAAACACCTAATTTTGTATGTTTTTGTTATATTTCATAAATAAATTACTTACTTAGTTGTTCAGAAGTTTAGTAGGGAGGATTTTGCATATATAGATAAAAAATGAAGATATCTTTGTTTTGATATTGCTATTAAGGGTTAGAGACATACAGAGCGTCCCATATCATATTAGATTATCTCCAATCTTTAACGACAAAATAACCCATTAATACTCAAAAAACTTATCATTTTCCGCAAGAAAAATCTTATATAAGACTTATATTATTTTTCAAAATGATTCATTTTAATGAAATTTTCTTATTAGTCCCGAAAATCGCAATTTAGACCCGTTGACGGTCTAATATGATGTGGGACACCCTGTAGATTAATAACAAAACAGATAGAACTCTAGATTCTCTCTTTTTAAGATTTAGGGGTTTTTCATTCACAAAGTCACTTGTCTTCTTTTCTTGCATTTCATGGGGTAAACCATAGATAAAAAACAATTATGAAGAATTTAAAATCTACATGCAGTACCCACCCCGGGAGTTTTTCGTACACGGATATATTAACAAGTTGAGGTTATTGTGAACGAAAAACCCTTAATTCTTAAATAAGACATCTAGTGTTCTATCTGTATTGTTATTAATCTATGTTTAGAGCTGAAATTTCTCCTTGTCCTAAATATTTCCTAAGTCTTAGGAAACAAATTAAATGTTTGATGACTGCTTGAGGAGGGGAGGAAGACCAGCCACAACAATTTCTAGTCCGAGCCACATTCTCCTCATTTTCTCGTACGAGCCACCTCTAAATCCTCGTCCTTCCAATATTACTCTTTAAAAGAGTCTAGTTCTCCAAGATAAAACTATTTTTTTAGATTTCTAGCAAATCGAAAAGAATAGTTTCAATTGAATTGAAGTTTTCGAGTTCTATGTCCTTAAAAATGTTTTCACCTTTTTTACGCGCATTTTCAAATATTCCTGGTGTAGAATGCCGTAAATAATTCCGAGGTTATAGAACTTTTATCTTTATTGTTAATTATAGTGAATACCATAGATATCTTCCGGGTGGTTCCATGGGGAAAGGCAGAGGTAAACCAAATATTTTGCTATTTATTTCATATTGCAAAGGTTGGCCATTACGGTGGCAGAAGAGTTTTAAGTTTTACCTAAATAAAGTTTGACATCATTCTCATGTCTCTAAAGTTTCAAACATGATTTAATCATTGCAATACTTTAGTCTATCCATTTTTTATGCCCTAACGTGGATTTCGAGGTGGTTCGGACGAGAAAATGAGGAGAATGTGGCTCGGAAGAGAAGTTGTTGTGGCTAGCCTTCCTCCCCTCGCCTGAGGGTCCCTGATCTTTGCAAGGTTTTGCACGCACTTGTATTTTTCAAAGTCAACAAGTATGGGTTGGCATTGCAGTTAAATTTTTCGATCATCATTCTGCTATTTTAAGGTTCAACATGGCATTCGAAGATTTAAGTTTAAAGCGTTATAATCAAATACTAAAACTTTTTGACGGAACCATAAAAGTTACTTTTATAGTTCCGTCGTTTTTAATCATTTGTTTTTTAAGTACATTCTGAACCTGAAAAAATTCCTTTTTCCCATCACGTAATTTTTTTAAAATTCCACGGGCAACGCCGGGCATTTTAGCTAGTTAGTTATAAGCTGAACTGAACAAAAAACAAGATTGTTCAAATAAGTTAAAACTTCATGAGTCTGTCTGTTTTGTTATTTGCAAAGTATTTGATAGGACTTGCTGTGCATAATTACTTCCGTCTTAGTAAAGTGTATACAAATAACTTAGCATTGTCCTAGGAGGCTGATTTTTTGCATGCGAGCTTAAAATTATGTATATTACATGAACTTTTTGGTTTTGAACGGATCTGAGCCAAAGTGCGCACGCTCGCGCTCTTATATACGACTTTTTTACAGTAAATCAATCTTGACCGCATTAATTGCACTTGAACATATATCCTGACAATCTTGAAACAAATATACGGTCAAAAACTTCACCTCCAAAGCCTGAAATGTCCGTTCGTGCGCGCAATAAAAAAATATCTTTGAATACATATATGCTAAGTTGCTAAGTGTTCTTGCCATCTCACAGAACCCATATGGAATAAACAGGAAAAAAGATTTATTTAAATCAGATTTTTTAATTCATTTCACAAAAAAAATAGTTAACCTTGTACTACAAGAATCAACAGTAGATTACAAGAATATGATCCAAGGTTGATTACAGCTGCAGGGATTTGATCAATAATAAACTACAGCTGGATTTCATCCATAATTGATTATACAGGAATTAATCAATAATTGATTTCACAGGGATAAAATCAATAATTGATTAAGCAGGGATTTGCTAAGTAATTGATTAACCATTATTGTCTTCTCCTCTCTCAGTATATCTACTCCAGAGTGTGCGTTTAGCAGTTTCTCTATAATCATCATTAGTTCGGCGTGCAACCTGCTTCACCCCCAACCCTAGAAACATGTATAGTTAGTTCGACGTGTAACCTGCTTCACCCCCAAACTTAGAAACATGTATATTTAGTTCGGCGTGCAACCTGCTTCACCCCCAACCCTAGAAACATGTATAGTTAGTTCGGCGTGCAACCTGCTAGGGGCGGATACAGAATTTAAGTGAGGGGGGCAAGATTTTTTAGGAACAAAAAAATTCATAATAAGGAACAAAAAATTCTGTATTATTATAGTTTATTAAGACAGATATTTTTCCTAGACAATTAGGATAATTAATTCTATATAGAACTAGACACTAAACCTACCTGCAGAATTAGACACTAGACAATTAGGATAATTAATTATATATAGAACTAGACACTAAACCTACCTGCAGAATTAGACACTAGACAATTAGGATAATTAATTATATACAGAACTAGACACTAAATCTACCTGCAGAATTAGACACTAGACAATTAGGATAATTAATTAAATATAGAACTAGACACTAAGTCTACCTGCAGAATTGGTTCTTCCATCACTCGTATCAACAATATCAGTTCTTCCTTGATTAGCTTTACCCAATCCTAGGCCTTCCTTCCAACCCATTTTCTTAACAAATAAGAAGACTTGTAAACTTACAGAATAGATTAGAAAAACCTTTAAAGGATCTTTAGGCGCAATTTCAACTGACCCTCAATTAAAAGATGTCAACGCCCGATTTAACGATACCCTTTACACCTTTATCTGATCAATTCATACTTTATCAGACAAAAGGTACTGATGTGAATGGAGCATTGTCCTCTTTGCATGGAGGGTCACTTGAAATTACGCTGTCAATTGTATATTAAATGTCTACAGATTTTGGATTTTTGGAATAGTATTTGGTAAAGGAAATCGACAAACATATTCATTAACTGCATAATTTTGATATGGATCCTAACCACTGTTTTCAAATACTTTTTCAAATTAATTAAAACAAATCCATAGAACAGTAAAAACAATTATTGTGCTTTTATAAACTTCGGATTTTTTTTTTACCTGAAGCATTTTATTTCCAACATTATCGTCGCCAATTTTCATGTCAGTTGTGTCAGCTGCAGTAGATGCAGCAATATTATCCATAGCTTTCATATACTTCTCCTTAAACCTTAAATACAGTAATTTCAGCAATATTATCCATAGCTTTCATATACTTCTCCTTAAACCTTAAATACAGTAGTTGCAGCAATATTATCCATAGCTTTCATATACTTCTCCTTAAACCTTAAATACAGTAGTTGCAGCAATATTATCCATAGCTTTCATATACTTCTCCTTAAACCTTAAATACAGTAGTTTCAGCAATATTATCCATAGCTTTCATATACTTCTCCTTAAACCCTTAAACACTTACTTACGGCCCGTGGCTAAGATGTTTCTAAAGTTTTAATTCTCTAATATAATTAAAAATAAATTTCAAATTTCAAATTTCTGCAAGCGAAATAGAAATGTTTATTTACTTGTTGGGAGGAGGAATGTCATCATCTCCAAACTTATTCCTTCTCTCCTTGGCTCTATCTCTGTACTGGAGACCAACAGGAGCACTTAACCTTCGTTCCCTAGATAAATGATTCATCAAACAAACAAACAGTTGATCAATCAATCAATCAAAGAAACAATCAGTTAGTCAATCAATCAATCAGCTAGTCAATCAATCAATCAATCAATCAATCAATCAATCAATCAACAAATTATTTAATCAAGAAATCCATCAATCAATCAATCACTTACATTTTTGCTTGCTTCCATGTTTCCAGATTTTGCTTGTGAAGGTCAGAGACAGTGTTGTGTTTCATTAATTTGTCTTTTGTCTGGAATAACATTATATTTATTGAATTATGTCTAGTTATTGTCTAGAATACATTATATTTCATGAATTATGTCCAGCTATTGTCTAGAATAAATTATATTTAATGAATTATGTCCAGCTATTGTCTAGAATACATTATATTTAATGAATTATGTCCAGCTATTGTATGTCTATTGTCTAGCTATTGTATGTCTATTGTCCAGCTAATGTATGTCTATTGTCTAGCTATTGTATGTCTATTGTCTAGCTATTGTATGTCTATTGTCTAGCTATTGCTCCACTACCTGAAATTGTCGCTTACAAAGAAGACAGGCATATTTGTCCCAATCTGTTAATTGAAGTTCATCTTCTTCATCATCTTGGTATCTAAACCAGAGATAGAATCATATTTAACAGCATGTCTTAAAGTTGACAATAGCCCAGGAAACAAACTAGGTTTCCATGGAAAGAAATTTAACCAAATTATTATTATTTGACAAGAGGCCGAATTTAAAGAATTTGAGCCGCGACTCAATTTTGGTGGTTCCGCTTAAATTTGTATTAAATTTTTTAAGATTTAAGCCGGCGCTCAATTGAAACCGATTTTTGGGGGATTTGAGACGCGGCTTAAATTCATTAAATTCGGACAAAGGTTTGAACATTTTCTCAGATCTCAGATCCAGTTTTTAATCCAGGTACACTATCAATGAAGCATCACAACATATATCATTTAAATTTGATTGTCAATAATAATTCAAAAATGAAGGTGGTTACCCTGCAAGACCGGGCAGAGGGCCAGGATCAACCGGTCTGTCATTCCTTTGCAGGATAGAAAATGCAATATCCTCTACACCTAGATAGATAGAAAAATAGATTACAGTTAGATAGAAGGATAGACAGAGAGATACCATCTATTAGATACAGTGGGAGGACCCATAAAACTGTTGTTTAGAAAGACGACCATTACAGAAATTTATGTGTACTTGATTTTGTTAAAAAGCTAATATTTACTCACTTACTAATCTAAATGGGCCTGTGTATGGGTTTATGTTCATAATTTAAGTGAAATAATCGTCTTCCTAGTCCACTGTTGTATGTTGTTTATATGAAAAAAGTTGAAATTTCTTTAAACCAGTGCTTAGGATCCGGATCCGGAAGATTTTGGCTTCCTGGATCCGGATCCGCAAAAATATGCGGATCCACGGATCCGGATCCAAGGGGAAAAATATAAACCAAAAACTGCAAAAAAAAAAAAAAAATTTTTACTCCTAAAACCCAAATCTGATTTTTTGAAAAAAGAGAGATTATAAGAATTTCCTCATTTCTGAATGGTTCAACAAGTTTTAGGATAAAAATAAGCGAAAAAAGTAAAACAAAATATTTAAAATTATATTTTATTAAAAAATTCAGTAAATCTTAAAGAAATGACCTGGACCCGGATCCGGATTTGGATCCATTTTTTTCCAGTGCGGATCCGGATCCACATCAAAATTAAATGGATCCTAAGCACTGTTTTAAAGTATTTCGGTAAGAAACCTAAGAAACAAGATTCTACCGACCATCATGTATTTGATATTTTAAGATGTCTTCTGTAAATTTTATCAATTTTAATATCCCATCTCTAAACAAGATGAAATACACCAACCGGAAGTGGATTTTCAATCGGAAGTGTAAACCGGAAGTAGATTTAAACAGAATTTTAGCTTGGCTAAAGTTTGCCTAATGACTCTGTCATTATATTTGAAAATAACCATCAACATTATTATTATCAAATATATATTTGTTAAACTTGTTTATGATTTACCTTTTTGGGCAGGTATCACAGTAATTTCAGGTGCTGCGGGTACCTCCCGGGCCTACAACAGTAGATTCAGTGTCGTATTCAGGAATTTGTCCAGGGGGGGGGATACCGCCATCGGAGCGATATACATATAAGTAATAAGTATGTATATTATATATTATAAATATAGGTCAACAAAATTAATATGTCAATAATATTAATTTGAGGATTTGGAATTATGACTTCAGGGACAAATTTTTGGGTGTAAAAAAGTAAAAAAAAGGTGAAAAAGCTCCTATATTACCTGGGCAGCATCTGAATCTGAGAAGTATAAAAAGGTGAAAAAGCTTAAAAGCTTCTAAATTACCTGGGTAGCATCTGAATCTGAGAAGTATAAAAAGGTGAAAAAGCTTAAAAGCTTCTAAATTACCTGAGCAGCATCTGAATCTGGGGCCGGGAGAAAGGTTTCATGAGTAGCGTCCCAGTAGCAAAATTGTGTTGTCTGGATCAAAAAAACACAAATAAAAATTAAAATCAAGTTTAAAACGACTGTCGATGTAATTTCAAGTCAGCCTCGATTTATATTCCATGTCTGATTCACAACAGTAGCCTTTCAAACTGAGCGATAATTATCAAGTTCTTCTTTTTTCTCTCTCTGAAAATTGATACTATTTGAATTGCGGTTCGTCTATAAACGAGACTTGTATATTCATGCAGCAGAAACAAGTAAGTCAAATATACAAATCGAACAATATAGGGGAAAAGGGCACTGTTGGAAATTCATATATATATGTTGTTGAAATGGATATCATGCGTGCGAAAAATTTTTTGCTGTGATTTTTAATTTTCTAGTTTGTTTTCGATCAAAATAAAAAAAAATAAAAATCCCGGCAAAAACTTTCTCGCAAATAATAATACTCACTACAATGACATAAATAGAAATTAGTTTTCAGGGTTTTATTTTCAGAATCCGGGAAATTAAACTAAACTAAATGACTTGAAGGGGGAAAGATAGCAAACATAATGGAAAACTTGCCAGTTGATTTTTAAGTGGTCCCCATTCCTAACATTCAATTCAATTTCATTTCATGTTTTTCCTTTGAATTATAATAGTATTGTGAATTGGAATCGTAGTAGAGAGTAGACACAGGATCGTAATAATATCCACTCGACTCATCAAACTGGTAGGTACTGAAATATATAATTAATAAATAAACATGCCGATCAAAAACAGTTCAACTGCTTTTCAAAAGGAATAAAGTTTTTGTCACATTAATCTTCAATTCTGTAATTCCCGTATCATTACAACCTAATAGTGTAAACCTTTGATTTTTAAAACTTACTTTCAGTAAAAAATTAAATTTTCAGTGTACACATTTTTTATAGGATTTAAATTTGAATTTTTTAGTACTAAAATTTTAAGTGTACGTTTATATTTCTAAAAAGATTCAAATTTTAATGTGTCAGTTTTTTAGAACTGAATTTTCTTTGCAAATGTTTTATGAGATTCAAATTATGATGTGTCAGTTTTTTAGAACTGAATTTTCATTGTAAATATTTTATAAGATTCAAATTTTGATGTCAATTTTTTAGAAGTGAATTTTTATTGTAAATATTTCTTAAGATTCAAAATTTAATGTGTCAGTTTTTTAGAACTGAATTTTCATTCTAAATATTTTATAAGATTCAAATTTTAATGTGTCAGTTTTTTAGAACTGAATTTTCATTGTAAATATTTTATAAGATTCAAATTTTAATGTGTCAGTTTTTTAGAACTGAATTTTCATTCTAAATATTTTATAAGATTCAAATTTTAATGTGTCAGTTTTTTAGAACTGAATTTTCATTTTAAATATTTTATAAGATTCAAATTTTAATGTGTCAGTTTTTTAGAACTGAATTTTCATCTTAAATATTTTAAAGATTCAAATTTTAATGTGTCAGTTTTTTAGAACTGAATTTTCCTTGTAAATATTTTATAAGTTTTAATTTTGATGTGTCAGTTTTTCAGAACTGAATTTTCATTTTAAATATTTTATAAGATTCAAATTTTAATGTGTCAGTTTTTTAGAAGTGAATTTTCATTTTAAATATTTTATAAGATTCAAAATTTAATGTGTCAGTTTTTTAGAACTGAATTTTCATTTTAAATATTTTATAAGATTCAAATTTTAATGTGTCAGTTTTGCTGAAGAAAATACTTGACTAAACATAAACTCGGTATTCTTCCCGCGTTAACAGTATTCGTTAAATGACTGGAAATATAATTCTTCATTAAAACATATCATAACATTGGTAGATCGGGCTGAACACCCCGGATGTTGGCAAGACTTAAAACTCAAGACTACATTCAGGAGCCTTAAGCCATCCCTGCATAATATGATTTGATTTATTTTGATTTGTAACTTAAATTTTTATAATTTCTATGGGTCACTTTTAGCAGTGACATTTTTAGTGTACATTCATTTTTTAACCAATGCTTAGGATCCGGATCAGTTGGATCCGCAATATTTTGGCTTCCTGGATCCGGATCCGCAAAAATATGCGGATCCACGGGATAAAATATCAACCAAAAGAAAAAAAAATTTACTCTCAAAACCCAATTCTGAACTATTGAAAAATTAGACACAAAATTTGAAAATTTTGCTTTGTTAAAAAAAAATCAGTAAAGAAATAACCTGAATCTGGATCCGGATCCGAATCCGCATTCAAATTAATTGGATCCTAGGCACTGTTTTTAACAGGAACTAACAATCTGCTTTCGTAAAATCTCCTCTATTATTATCATAAGGATATGTTTTTACCTTGTGTCTGGAGGAGGATATTTTTTATAAACAACACCGTTGATAGAAATGGAACCTAGATCCACTGGGACGGGTGGTCCTTTCTTCTCCGCATAGATGGCCTTCAGGGCGGGGGTAGGATCCCCGCCCTCCTTGTAGTAAGTTCTGGAATATAAAATATTTCGTTAAAACATGACAATTTTCAATATTAAAGGAAACCCCAAGGTTACAATGCAAGGAAAGTTAATTGCAGTTGCGTATACTCTGCGCACATATTGAAACCAGTTCTCTCCGGGCAGAATTTGTAAACAAGAATAGATGCATCAGTGTTCGATTAGCATCCGAGGAGGTTAAAGCATTAAATTTTGATAATTCACATGATAGTTTCCTATTACCAGAATATTTCATTAATTTTTTATGTGAAAGATGGATTCCATGTCAGGCTTCGACATCTGTGCTGTGTTTACATTACCGCCCAGAGACAGTACACTGCAGTACAAAAGATGCGCACACCTCTGAAATAACTTTCCTTGCATTATAAGTTAACCTTGGGAAACCCCGTCAATATAACCTACAATAAAGGGACTGACCATCAATTTCTTAATTGTCATTATCAGATTCACAACAATACCATTTAAACCTTTGTCTGATCAGGGTTGAATAAGATATCATTATTTTATAGTGAGAGAAAATAGCTATTTTAGATTTTATTTTTTGTATTTTTTACACTTAAGAAAATGAAGGAAATTGTCAAAATTCAACACGTTTTTAGCCGGTATTGTACTTTAAAGGGTACAGATGTAAATCGAACACTTTAAATTGCGGTTCACTTAAAATTACGTATACAATCCCTCAGATTATAAGCGTTCAAGACAAGTGTTAAAATTCATTAAAGATTTCTTTTTATCTCTTCTTAAGTTCCATTGGATATTAATTTCATAGGTTTTCGATATATGGCGTAGGTAGCAATATTATAAATTTAATTTCAAAGTGTCAAAAATGACTTCTATTGAGGGCCGAACTTTTTTATTGGCTAAAAAAATCGACGCTTCTCTTCAGGAGTATCAGGAGAAAGATCTGTTTGGAGGACCCAGACCATCGGGTGAACACCCGGCCCCAGGCCATCCACAGATGAGGTATTACCTTATTAGTTGGTTAGTGAGGTTACAATATCAAAATTTTAAAAAAAAGCTTACGTATAGTATTGTATATAGCTAGCTCGTTCAGCTGGATGTTTAGCATATAGATCTGCAGAATACTCGGCCATTTTCCTAAATTATTCAATCAATCCATTAGCAATACATCAATCAATCAATCATACAGTCAATTAATTTATATGATATTTTTGAATTGCGCAATTAAACATAAATCCAGCCATTTCCCAAAAAAATCAATTCACCAAACAACCAACCAATTAATCATTTGATCAAGCAAGTGACTGATCATGCAGAAAACTAAAACCAGATTACACAGTAAAATAAAATCAATCAATCAGTTTATATATCAAGCAATTGATTAATACCAGTTTACTAGAAATAATTAATCAATCAAATCCGTCCAACAATCCATTCATCGAATCTACCAACTGTCCAATCACCCAACCACCCAACCAACCAACCAACCGGCCGACCGACCGACCGACCGACCGACCGACCGACCAACCAACCAACCAACCAACCAACCAACCAACCTATCAAGCGTTTTTACCTAATTTCCTCCTCTGAGAACTGTGCCTGAGTATCCTGTTGTGAGGGGACCATGGACCCTGTATTACCAGCTGGTGCATCAACCTTTAAATTAAAATACAATTGTATCATGGTGTACGGAACAAAACTTAAAAAAAATATATTCGTATACAGATATAAATAAAAGAGCCGGATAACCTTAATTCAAACAATTTTTAAAATATGGAATAACAGACAATTTGAAAATATTAGTGGGTTGAGAGGCATCTTTTGATTTATACAATTGTTTAAGTAATACACGTTGCTTCTAATTTGCTAATGTATGATTTGAAACTTTTGATTTAACAGTTGCATCCTTCATTACAGAGAAAATATATACCAGACACGATTTCTCCTTTTCATTCTCCTGTTTTCTGTAGGCAACCAACAACTTTTTACCTACGAATAAGAATAAGAATAAGAATAAGAATAAGAATAAGAATAAGAATAAGAATAAGAATAAGAATAAGAATAAGAATAAGAAAAGAAAGAATAAGAATAAGAATAAGAATAAGAATAAGAATAAGAATAAGAATAAGAATAAGAATAAGAATAAGAATAAGAATAAGAATAAGAATAAGAATAACAATAAGAATAAGATTAACAAAAAGAATTAAGATTAAGAATAAGAATAACACAGTAAACTGTACATACTGTAAATAAACACAGTTAACGTTACAGTGTACATTGTACTCTAATTGAAAACACTATAAACTTTACAATTTACTATAACTGAACACAACAAACTGTACACTGTTATGTAACTTAACACAGAAAACTGTACACTATACTGTAACTAAACCCAGTGAACTTTACACTGTACTGTAACTAAACCCAGTAAACTGTACACTGTACTGTAACTTAACACAATAAGCTGTACATTGTACTGTAACACAGTAAGCTAAACACTACTATAATGTTAACTTACCGTCAACGAAGAGTGATTTCTCAGAAATAGTGTTGTACAGAATCATAGCGTCCATAATTGATCTCATTTGTACATAGCACATCCCCCTGTTTAACAAATTAGCAGTGACTATAAATCGAAGAGAAAAGAAATACTCCTATGAGTAACATTTTTCCTTGCAGTTGTTCAACCCAAAAATTTTCGGTAGATTTTCTTGTAATTAAGTATACCATTCATTTTTTTAATCTCCATTTTTCTCATAAGATGTTATAAAAGAAGAGATCTGAAAGAAGCCCCAGCTTGGGCAACCCATGTCCTATCACTACTGAATTTCTTTAACAAAAAATAATTTTCAAATTTTTGGTTTTATTTTTTTCGCTTATTCTTAATCTAAAACTTTATGAACCTTTTCAGAAATGAGGAAATTCTTATAATCTCTCTTTTTTTAAAAGTTCAGATTTTGGTTTTAGGAGTAAAATAATTTTTTTTGCAGTTTTTGATTGATATGTTATACTACGGATCAGTATATTTTTGCGAATCCGGATCCGATTCCAGGAAGCCAAAATCTTCCGGATCCTAAGCAATGCTACTGATAACATCAATCCTAATCAATTCTAATAGTCTTCATTTTAGATGTATATAAATTTATTCTAGTCTTCCAATGTAGATTTTCCTCCTTGGGTTTAGAAACTTCTAACAAAGTGAAAACACGAATTGCGCATTTTTTTGTAGTTGAATTACAAAAATTTAAATTTAAAGAAGAGTTTTACAAAGTAATGTTACAGAGCTGAAAACTTTAAAATGGTGGATATCGAGATCAATTTCTGATTCTCTCTTTTTCTTAATCTCGAGACTAAACTAATCTTGTGTTTGTATCCTGAAAAGTGTATAAAATTCAACCAATTAGAGAAGAGTTCTCTAATTTTATTTCCTGTACTTTTGATGTCATATCATTTGGACTAATGTTCGATTGAACCAATGTAAGTTTGGACTAATGTTCATTTGGACTAAAGTTTAAAATAAAATTATTTGAACGTAAAGAATTTTTTATTTGTTCAAATGGACTAAAAACAGGTTTGTGAACAGCTGATTTTGCAATTGAACGTTGTTCAATCTGACAATAGTCCAATTGATAAAGCACAGTATATGTATTTTTTATCAAACGTAACTTTAATATAGTAAGGATTAAGGAAAAGAGAGGATTAAGTGTGTACAGTGGATACTCTGATTAAGGATATCCCATTCTAAAGTTTTCAGCTCAGGGAGATTTGTTAGTAATTTTAAAAATGTAAATTTTACTTTTAAAAATATATTTCTACCTCGACATACTGGTAAGTTTATCCTTGCTGATTGTTACAGAGAGAATTGGTAAAGCTGAGATTCCTTTCAGAGCTTTCATTATCGATTCTTCCATAGATAGAGCATCCAGACCACTCAGCATCAGAACTATAGATAGATAGATAAATTTCATTATAGATTCTTCCATAGATAGAGCATCCAGACCACTCAGCATCAGAACTATAGATAGATAGATAGATAGATAGATAGATTTCATTATAGATTCTTCATAGATAGAGCATCCAGTCCACTCAGCATCAGAACTATAGATAGATAGATAGATAGATAGATCATACAGTCCACTCAGAATCAGAACTATAGATAGATAGATAGATAGGTAGATAGAGCATCCAGTCCACTCAGCAACAGAACTATAGATAGATAGATAGATAGATAGATAGATAGGTAGATAGAGCATACAGACCACTCAGCATCAGAACTATAGATAGATAGATAGATAGATTTCAATAAAGATTCTTCCGTGAACACTGGACAGGGCATCAGAACTATGATAGATAGATAGTAGATATAATAAACTAACCACTGGTTGCCCCCCACCCCCTCCCTAAGAAGGCGTTAGTGTTCAGTAAAAAATCGATTATTTTTTTACTGTAGGATTTAAGTCTTTGCCACAAACTCAAATTTTTGAATCCCTATAAAAGTGCAACCTAATGGTGCAAACCATCAATATCTTAAACTAAGATTATTTAATCTAATTCATAATTTAAAAAATCTAAGGTCTTCGAATTGGGATACGGATTAGAAAATCATAATTTGTGGCAAAGACTCAATTCCTTTGCAGTAAAAATAAGCAAATTTTTAATAAGAAAATAGTTTTTTAAAATCTTTTCTTTTCAAGTAGTAAATGGTGTTTCCAAAATGATATTAAACAACATCCCAAGCCAAAAAGTGTTTTATGAATATTTTAAAAGTGCAAGTTAAAAATGTTCAAATACGTCATCAAAATTAAAGAGTTACAATTTTCAAAAAAAATGCAAAAACCGAGTTTTTGAACTGTGAATAAATTAATCATTTTTAAAGTTATTTCCCAAAGTAAAGATATTTTAGAATATGGATAGCATATAAAAACTTAACAAAACAATTGATTAAAAATGATATAAAACATCATTCTCAGTCAACACCTAGGGATTTAGCGAAAATTTCAAGAAATAAAATCAAAAAAGTTAACAAATGGCAAAAAATCACGTTTTTTTCTGGCGGCAGACGAAATAAAGGTTCAAAAAATAAAATATTTTGGATCTTTCTTATTTTTATATATATCTAATAAAAAGAAAAGAACACCTCTGAACAGTTTTACCAGGGCCGCCGTACCCTCCCCTTGTATGAACTAACCACTGGTTGGTTGAGGACTAGTTTCATCAGTCTCATCCTTTAGAAGTGTATTGGTAACATCTATCTCCCCCCCCACCACCTCCCCTTGTATAAACTAACCACTGGTTGGTTGAGGACTAGTTTCATCAGTCTCATCCTCTAGAAGTGTATTGGTAACATGTACCCCTCACCACCACCTCCCCTTGTATAAACTAACCACTGGTTGGTTGAGGACTAGTTTCATCAGTCTCATCCTCTAGAAGTGTATTGGTAACATGTACCCCTCACCACCACCTCCCCTTGTATAAACTAACCACTGGTTGGTTGAGGACTAGTTTCATCAGTCTCGTCCTCTAGAAGTGTATTGGTAACATCTATCTCAGGTCGAGGACAAGCACACTTATAACATTGCTCCCGGCGCTTGAAGTTCTGTGCATCACACTGGGCACAAAATACAAAGTTAAAGGGACTGTTCTGGTAATTTCAAGTGACCCTCCATATATAGACCTGGCATGTCCGACTTACAACAGTACCCTTTAAACCTTTATTTAATTATAAGAGGACATCGTAATTTTTCTGGTTTGAAAAGTGTTCAATTCTGATAATTTCCTAACATTGTTCAGCAGGATAAATGTGAAATTTAAGGGTACCGTTGTGAATCTGGCATACCATCAATGGAGACTCAGTCGATATTATGACTTCCACCCCCTTTAATTTTAAAAATGTATATGAAAATTTTCTTTTTACAAAAGCATCACAGAATAAAATCAAAGCATCACAGAATAAAATCAAAGTGGTAAAATCAAAAATTAATAATTCAGAAAGAAACTCTGTAAGAAAACAGTTATGAGTAATTAATTCCTGTAAAAAAACGATTTCAAAGAAAATTTCAGGAATTGTAATACAAACAAGAAGGACACAAGATAATAATAAAATAAGAAAAGAAATCAAATTGAACAAACAAAAATTTAAAAGACTTAATTGCTATAATTTCAGTTTTTAAATATCTAATAAAAATGAAAATGATTAAAATTATTAAGAATTCAATAAAAAGCCCATAAATATCATCTCTCAAAAAAAAGTACCTTTGGACATTTCCAGTCGACAAGAAGCTTGCTTGGTTCAACTCTAGTCTCCTTGAGGTCTCTAGCCTGGCTGTACTGCATCGTTATCTCCCATGTACCAAATCTCAGCATGCCCTGCAATATGTACAACGTCAGTTACAACTGTACTCGTGTTTTACGTACCCTCGGAATGGTGACCCGGAGGGATCTCCGACAAAAATGCACAATTTCCCGGGACACGGGCCCCAAAATCTGGCACATTTTTGACCCTGACAGTTCTCTCTTCTGTTATTTGTCCACTGTTCATTTTCTTTCGTAATTTGATTTTACATAAAAATGTTTTGATTGTTAAGTGAAGGAATTAGACTTTTTAATCTTTCATATTTCAATAACAGCAAAGGAGGGGTAGGGGTAGATGGGTGGGGCCGATTCTTTTAAAGATTTTTTTGATAAACCAGTTTGTATACTTCCTGAGGGTGAGTACCTGCTCAGCTTCGATCCACTCCTTCGCCTCGCTCACACTTGCGAATTCAACAAAAGCAAAGCCTCGGGATTCACCTAGTTGTGGTAAACAACATCCACATTAATAACAAGTAGACGGAGGAAAACGTTTAGTAACGTCTAATGACGTCTAAACAACGTCTAATGACGTCTAAACAACGTCTAATGACGTCTAAGATCCGATTTTCAGTAAATCTTCGGAATGAATATGCTCCTCGCGTGTAGTACAAATAAAGTTGGAGTCTTAGCAGACCAATAAGTATTTGTGGGTAAGCATGAACGCTTTTCTTAGAAACTCTCATATTAAGTATCTCAACACTTACCTTTGGGTACAAATGCGCAAAGAAAAATTCCATTTATTGAGACTAAAGCAAACGGGAATGCGCAAAAAAAAATGCGTAAAGGGAAATTTGCGGAACGTGTTACTCACCGGTATCTTTCTTCCTGATCAGACGAACTTCAGTAGCTTCGATTCCATGAGTTAGAATATTATCATGGATCTTAACAATGGAAAAAAATTATAAATAAATAATCGTGCTAAAATAATTCAAATATTTTCTTCTTACATCTTGTTCCAGAATGTAAACGGGAAGACCTCTAATCATAATTGTACTATTGGGTTCATCCGTCATCCAGTTTCCACAGTCATTACCTCCACCTCGCCTAGAAAAATTAGTTTAAACTAGTATCTTTCCTCACACATTTCAAGAGTGAGAATATCTTTGCTAGTCATCTTCGGTTTTGACTTTTATTTTTGGCGCAATCTGCGACATTTTCTCTTCTCAAAGTATCAAAACTAAACCAACAAAAGTTCGCAGATTTATTGGTTATTTTTTCGTATATTTGGGAAAATCGAAATTTTTTGTTTCACTTTTATCTTTGCTGTTCCAAAATTAAAATCGATAGTAGTCTTCATTGTATTGATATATATGACGCCGACAGTAAAAGTTTTGGTAAAATTTCACAATTACAATTATAATTGACCTTATTACTTTTATTGTTCAGGGGTATTTTTTGACTTCAGAAGAAAGATTGGGCTTCAACTGGAAAGTATTTTATTTCTCTTTATGATGATTTTTTCCCAAAAATTAATTCTATTCCCACAAAATCAGTGATTAACCACAATTCGCAATAAAAGCCAGAGGTGTATTATGCATATTTTTTCGAAAAATTCCCCATCCTTTTGAAACTCATTCCCCCCCCCCCCCACCACAGAAGTTATGTATGTTTGCGCAGAGCGCCAACATTTAGGGGTTCATTTGTTAAATTGGTGAAAGTAATCATTTTAAGGAAAATATCAACAAAATGTTGGATATAAAAAAATTTAAAAATCATTCTGAAGCTGGATGGGAAATGATGTTTTAGAAATGTTCACTCCTTTACTTATAAGTTTATCTTAAAAAATACCTTGAAGGTGTCCAAGACTGGCTTAAATACCTTGGAGGTGTCCTGGATCGGCTTAAATACCTTGGAGGTGTCCTGGATCGGCTTAAATACCTTGGAGGTGTCCTGGATCGGCTTAAATACCTTGGAGGTGTCCTGGATCGGCTTCTTCTCCTGTCCCTAGACCTGTCTCTGCGCCTTAATATTTATTTTTGCTAAATTCAGTTTTAGACATTTCTCATAAGAGGTGGGAACTCTTGTATTGTGCATATTGAGATCAAAGCTTGATCTCAATCTTTTTAATCTGCAGATTAATTTAATCTTTATTCGATATCCCACAGTGTAATTTTATCCTGAAGAAATTACTGGAATTAGGCATTGATCCTTAAATTAAAAGTGCCGCAGTGGATATCGAGATCAAGTGATTGAGATTATGAGTATCCAACGCAAAGGTTCCCAGCTCAGGTTGTGTTCACGCCAGATTGGTAGTGTAGGTTCGTTTCTAAAAACTTTGAATGAACACTTCCAAGAGTTTAAAACTGTATTATGTAATTTTGCTTTCATCAAACTTTACAGAAAAGATCAATGCAAAGTTTCCCCCTACCCCCCCCCCCAAAAAAAAAAAAAATCCGAATTGGTTTAAATGTGTTCTCTATTTGTAGAATGCATAACTTTAAAGTAGGAAAAATATTTCAATGTTTATTTTTACACCATCACTCATTAGTCCTTATAAATAATGAGCTAGTTTTGAACCGATCTGATATCTTTAATCAAACTTCCCAAGATTTCAAAACAGTTTTAGATGTTGCAGTTTTTTAAATTTAACTTTTTAATATTTGTATTCTTGAAAAATGGGGAAACGATCCAAAAGCTTAATTTTTGAGTTCGTTTTTTTCGTGTCAGTGTCAAATTTCGACATAGCGTGCGTTGAGAAACAGCAATTGATAAAAAAATATTTGCTCTTCTTGCACGATGCCAAATTTTGACCCTTAAAGAAAATACTGGACAAAAATATAGGAAAAAGAAACCAACCTGCGATCCCTACTTCTACTCCGACTTCTCCTGCTCCGGCTCCTCTTGCTCCGGCTCCTCTTGCTTCGACTTCTCTTGCTACGACTTGTTGAGCGACTCCTAGACCTGGTTCTATCCCTCCTCCTTCTCCTCTCCTTGCTTCTAGTTCTTCTTCTACTCCGGCTTCTCCGTCTATTGCCCCTACTCCAAGATCTACTACGTCGTCTACTTCTAGACTTAGACCTAGATCTAGATCTTGACCTTTTCTTAGCTTCTGATTTATCACTCTTTATGTCTTCTTCACCATTCTTGTCCTTCAAGTTAAATTCGGCAGAATTCTAAATAATCGTTAAATCATCATTTGTTTTAGGATTTAAAAACGTTTGTCATTAATGTTTCGGTCATGGTTTGCTTTATCAAAGCAGTGCTATGTATTTATCCTGCTTTGATGTTAAATAGCTTACTATGGAGTTGAATGGGTTCCCGGATATTCTCAATTCAGGACATTTTCAAATAATTTTAAAATCGAATTTTTTTTTTAAGATCTAAATATTTATTTACGTATCGAGGATATATTACAACTTGGTCTATATGGGTTTAACGGAAAAAAACTATTTTACGATAGTATCGTTTACATACATTAATTAAGAAGTAATCTATTAGTTTCCGGATACATTTTTTATCATTATTTTCTTATCAGAATTGATGTTACATTTAATATCGAGTATTGACGAATCAGCAGTTCAAACGAAAAAAAAATACATTTTGTTCAATAGGATAGCATATTTGTATACAATGTGAAATAGCAATACGATAGACACGGTGTGTGTTATCAATTATTAGAAAATGCTATAATTAACTTGAAGTTTATTTCTGCTTTTTCGACTAGTTTATTCTAGGCACATTTAAAAGTTACAATGATCATTCATTCACAACAGCACTCCTTGAAACCTGAGGCCGAATTTAAAGAATTCAAACCGCGTCGCTTGTCCAACAAAAACCGGTTCCAACAGAGAGCCGGCTCAAATCTCGAAACACTGAATACAATGTCAAGTGGAACCAACCTTGTTTACGCACAAATTCGTTAAATTCGGTCTCAGGGATAATTACAATCTCTAAAAATCACTCCCTCCCTCAAATTATCTCCCCCCCCCAGCAGTGAAAAAGGAAAGGGATCAAAATTTGATCCAATTTAAAAAACACAATGCCTACCTCGGTACTAACTTGAGCAGTGTGATCAACATTTCGTCCCTGCTCCTCCTTCCCTCCGTCTCTACTATCAGTTATTTGTTCTACTTCCTCCACATTCTCTTCCCCGGGAGCACCTTCATCCTCAACATACTCCTCCATTCCCTGGCCTCCAAACTGTTCTTCTTGGCCTCCATAATGTCCTCCATGTCCCAAATTAGGAGGCGGTGGTCCCCAGGGTGCCACATTCTGCCCCTGGCCCCAAAAAGCTCCGCCTCCAGGTGGGCCCGCCCCCCTGCCTTGAAACTGTCCAGGAAATGGTCCAGGGTGTTGAAAAGAACCGGCGCCACGGAACCCTCTGTAAATATTTTAATTAAAAGTATTTAAAATAAAATATCAAAATAGGAAAGCAATTATATCTATCATACAAGTATGAAAATCCTAGATTTGTATTCCTACTGTTAGGCTAAAAATATTAGTTAATAACTTGTTTACAAGAATGACGCATTTACGCATTTATGCATGTACTCATGTACTCATTCGCATATACTCATTTAGGCAGATATACTAATGTAAAAGCTTAGATGAGAATGCACAGTAGTAAAAACATACACCCCAAAAAATAGTGAAGTTTCTAGTCAGGAATTTTGGAATAAAATAAAATTTTAAAATTTTTTATTTACCTGTGACCGCCGACCCTGCCCGGGCCTCCATAACCACCTCCGAACCCTCCTCCGCCTCCGAAGTTTCCCCCACCTCCTCCGAAACCTCCACCTCCCCCTCTGCCTCCGTAACCTTGCCCACCAAAACCTTTATCAATAACGTATGTATTAGATGGAATTCATGCATAAGTTTTTTTTTAAAAATATGGCGGTAATTTCCTAGAGAACGATTTTTGGACCCTCCCCCTCCCCCTCCTATCAATTTTGTACATGGATCTTAAATGTAAGACATTTGGCCGCAGCGCTCGGCCCCCTAGTCTGTCCTAGCCGCAGCGCTCAGCCCAGAAAGTGTCTTAACCCAACCTAACCCTAAATAAATACTAAATATAAATTATGTACAAAATAGAAAGGAGGGGGGGTGTCCAAAAATCGCTCTCTAGGACAGACCCTCATTAGGTTAGTGGTTGTTAATTTGAACAGCTTGAATGATTGTACCCAAATTCCATTCCCGGAATGTTTATAGATTAAAACTTTTCTTGCAAAATCCACCGATAATATCAAAAGACTTTGCGAAATGATTATTTGTTGCTGTAGCCACGAACAAAATGGGTTCAGTCCTAGTATAATGTAAGTATAAGAAGGACGGCCTGCCATTGTAAACCGTCAAAACCCTACACATTCAAGTCTAACTTGTCAACATAATAAATTGCATTTTGAAAAATTGCTTGGGTCTGTCCTAGATAACGAGTTAAGGGTATAATCTTAGAGAACGATTTTTGGACCCCCCCCCCTCCTATCAATTTTGTACATGGGTCTGACAGGAAGTGTCTTAACTTAACCTAACCCGTGGCCGCAGCGCTCGGCCCCCTAGCCTGTCCTAGCCGCAGCGCTCGGACCAGAAAGTTTGTCCTAACCTAACCCTCAATAATAAAAGTAAAAGTACCTCAGGACGGACCCATTTAAAAAAATCAAACAAACCAACAGACTAACAAATGTACATGTGTCTCGCATCACATTAGACCGATTATAGCTCTAAATTAAGATTTGACTGGCTAATCAGGAAATTTAAAAAAGAATGAATCATTTAGAAAAAATGTCAAAGGCTAATATAAAAATGTCTCGCAAAAAATACCAGTTTTTCGTGTACTATGTGCGTATTTTGACGTTAAAGCTTGGAGATAGTCCAATACAAGGTACTAATGCAAGGAAAGTTATTTCAGAGGTGTACTCATATTTTGTACTGCAGTGTACTCTCTTTACACAAAAATAATCTATGAAATATTCTGGTCATAGGAAACTATTGTGTGAATTATCAAAATTAAATACTTTCATCTTGGATTAAAAATTCCACCCAGAGAATTCAATATGTACGCAGAGTATACGCGACCGCTATTGACTTTCCTTGCAAATTAGTACCTTGGTCCAATATGTCGCACGCTCTCGTATTATATTGTTATGTAAACATTATATATTAATTTACTAGATATATATAGAATACAGATACCTTGTTGGCCATTCCCGTAGTTCTCTTCACCCCCATAGGTGTACGCCATGGTTGGAAACCTGCGTAATAACGTTTAAAACCTTTAACTTGTGACGCAAAACGTATCTCGGCTAAACTAAATTAATTATTTATTTTGAGTACAGTTTGCGGCATTTACAACAATCTTTATTTGATGCTGTATCAACTGAACTTAGTATCTTCGAAACTAACACTAAAACTAAATAGAAAAAAATCGATCTACATAGAAAAAAATAATGAAAAATTAGCAGAAAATTATTCTAACATAGTTTAAGAATTAAAAACGGTTGAAAGTTTGAATTTGTACAAAATCCAAATAATACGGGACGCGGGGTTAGAGATTGGGAGGAGTCCTAGTTCGAATAATGCAGCTTTTTAAAAGTGAATCAATGATTGAATTCGGAAGAATTGAATACGCGGGCCGCGGCATTTCAAACGTTCAGCGCTTAAAATATTATTGAGCATGTACTATTATGCAAAAGTTAAGATTACGAACAGTTTTCGAACCCAAATAGAACAAAGAATAAGCATTTAAAGCTGCGGAATGAAGTTTTTAGTTACGTCAAGTAATTTGTTTTGTAAACATAAAAATATGAGATTTTTTGTCTCGAAAACTTCACAAGCAAAGTATTTCAGATGTAACAGTATGTCAGGTTATCCACCTCATCCGTTCTTAGGGTACCCTCAGGGGTCTACTGGAGTACCTGCTCCTGGTTATGCCCAGGCCCCTACCTCGGGGTATCATCAGGTAGCTTCTGGGGGACTCGTTGGACCACCTGGGAATGCTCAATATTACTCGCAGGTGTTAAGTTTAAACATGTATCATGAAGGTTTAAAGGCTACGTTCAGGCCCGTAGCCTAAAATTTTTATTATCGTTTGTTTTTAGACAATGCTGGGTTTTTTTTACAGTGGTATATGTTTGATTTTATTACATTGTCAATGTACACTATAAAGTCTAACCTTCTAACAAGTGTATTTGAGCTTTTAAGGGTTAAATTTTAGTGTATGAAACTTTTCAGTTTACATATACAATATACATAAAAAAGATGAATGGTACTTTAGCTTAAGGAAAGAATTTATCATTTAAAGTACACCTATATACACCCTGACACACCCCCACACACTTTAAATGAGTAACACACAAATATATTAAATTTGGTTTGGGAAGGGAATCAATTCTTACTCGGGCTATTTAATTGACAACTAGATTATAGAAAATTATGAGAAACAATTTATTTATATGGGATTGGGGGTGGGGTGTGCACATTCGTCAGATGAAAGGGAGTGAACCTGTCCCCCTGCACACTCCCCCTTGGCTACTGGCCTGGCTGCGTTTGGTCTTAAAAATTGAGATTTAAGGCTGAAATTTGCTTGCAGCCTCCATTGTATTCATCTATAAAGATTACGAAAAAAATTATCTCTATGTTGACAAGCAAAATCACAGTATTTGTAAGTTAACACAGCAGAGTACAAAAGTAAATTAAATAATCTATTTACATATTGTCCAGAATTAGTTACCCGACATATTCGCCATTGGCACGAAGTCGGTTTTAAATAAATCCTGGGACAATAATTATTCTAGAATAAACCTTATTTGATCATTGTCCAACATTTTTCTTAATTTTTTAATACTTTTACAAATAATATAGGTTATTTCCTAGAGAACGATATTTGGACCCCCTGCCCCCCCCCCCTCCTATCAATTTTGTACATTGATCTTACAGAAAGCGTCTTAATTTCAACTAACCATGACAATTTTGGGAACAGTTCTTTTGCATTCCATAATCTTAAGTCATGGCAATGTCTTTTAATCACCCTAAATTCATAATTCGTGAACATTCTAAGTCCAGAGTGAGTTACCCAACATATTCGCCATTGGCGCATAAAGTGGGTTTAAATAAATCCTTGGACATTAATTATTCTAGAATAAACTATAATTGATCATTGTCCAGGGGGGGGGTTAGTAAAAACCTAAAAAGACACATTTGCTTAATCTTTGTTAGTATTGTATTAATAATTTGAAGTATGAATTATTACCATAAAAAGGTTTAAGTAAAATATATTACTGAAGTGATATTGTATTAGAAACGAGGTGGAAGAGGTAGGACTGAAAGAGATGGAGGGGGCAGAGGAGGAGGAGGAGAAGGTGGTAGCTGGGGTGGAGGTGGAGGAGGCAGTAACTGGGGTCGTGGAGGAGAAGGAGGACCCCCTTCAGGTTCACGTTGGACACCTTCTCCTTCCTTTAGAGCTGCACCTTCACCTAGTGGAGCTGATCTCCAGGATTTCGGAGACATGGGAGCAGCAGCCAGGAGCTACTCTGGAGCAAGCAAAAGTAAAGGTAGTTTAGCTGTTGGATTTACATGAGACCTCAGAATATTTATTTTTTATAATTGACAACCATGTCATTTTTAATTCAGACTCCAACAGTCATTTTCCCCATGATTTTTGTTTCCTTCAAAGCCGCAACAAATTAAATATATAATTGTTATTTTTATATTTATTATTTTTTATATCTATATCATAAAACAAGACATTCATATACATGTTCCCTATAGCCGGCCAAACGGTAGTCAAATACCAAAGACGACTTCCAAGTCGTCTTGCTATTGTCATGTTTCGTGGGACACCCTGTATATAATAAATATATTTGATTATACAGGTTGGTTTACCTGGAGCTCAGTCTGGATTTACGCCTGGTTTTCTTCCCTCCGCTTCTTACACTCAGGTTTTATGTAAATTCATAGGATTAAAGGGACTGTACACGTAATTTTAAGTAATTTATTTTTACAGAGTGTCATGTCTGATTCACAACTGTGTCCGTCAAACATTTATCTGAGCAATTACATGTAAAATATTGTTGGAATTACAAATTTAAGAACCATCGGTACTCGGACATCCCATTTTATAACGTTCCTTTACAGGAATTTATATTTTCTACAAGGATAAATTGGGGGGAGGGGCGGGGCAGTAATTGATCAGCGCAGTTATCAACACTCTTATTATTACTATTTCAGTGTTCAGTATTTATTTTCAAGATTAATCCCCCTCCCTCCTTTATAAAACCCTGAGTTCAATCCCTGTCTAAACTTTGAGTTTAATTCTCGTTTAAAATTTCAATTTAATCCTCGTCTAAACCTTGAGTTTAATTCCCGTCGAAACCTTAAGTTTAATTCCCATCTAAACCTTGAGTTTAATCCTTGTCTAAACCTTGAGTTCAATCCCCGTCTAAAGCTTGAGCTGGAACGCCGCCTGAAGCTGGAGTTTTATACACCTGTCTAGACCTTGAGTTTAATTCCCGGCTAAACCTTGAGTTCCATCTTTGTTTAAACCTTAAGTTTAATTCCCGTTCAAACCTTGAGTTTAATTCCCGTTCAAACCTTGAGTTTAATTCCCGTCTAAACCTTGAGTTTAATTCCCGTCTAACCTTTAGTTTAATTCCCGTCTAAACCTTGATGTTAATACCCGTCTAAACCTTGATTTTAATTCCCATCTAAACTTTGAGTTTAATTCTCGTCTAAACCTTGAGTTTAATTCCTGTCTAAACCTTGAGTTTAATTCCCGTCTAAACCTTTAGTATAATTCCCGTCTAAACCTTGAGTTTAATCCTTGTCTAAACCTTGAAATTAATCCCCGTCTGAAGCTTGAGTTTAATCCTTTTCTAAACCTCGAGTTTAATCCTTGTCTAAACTTTGAGGTTAATCCTTGTTTAATCCTTGTCTAAACCTAGAGTTTAATTCTTGTTTAAACCTTGAGTTTAATCCCCGTCTGAAGCTAGAGTTTGAACGCCGTCTGAAGCTCGAGTTTAATCCTTGTCTTAACCTGAATCTAATACCCGCCTAAACCTTGAGTTTAATGCTTGTCTAAACCTTGAGTTTAATGCTTGTCTAAAATTGTTTCTGTTTTTGAATAAACAGGCACTAACCAGTCTACAGTGCTAAACGTGCTCTCCTCTGAGGGGTTAGACGGGTTGGAAAACTCCTGGTTAGTGCTAGATTGATCTTGTTTAGTAAATTAATAACTGTTTAGGGTGGGCATCCTGGCCAAGTGAGTGTTCATCATTTTTCCCAGCCTCCCCCTCCTCCACCCCCCACACACTCCTCCTTCTACTCCCAACCCTCCCCCTCCTCGTCCTACACTCATCCTTTCCTGCTCCAACAGACGCAGGGACTTAGCCTAGCCTCCCCCACACACTCCTCATCTGAGCTCCCCTCCCCTCTTGGTGGAGCTCCTCATCCTTCTCTTCCCTTCAGTCAACCCTCTCCGACACCTGTACGTTGGTCGTCTTCTGAATCTTCAAACCCAGTCATGTCCAGAATGTTTATACCTGGACAACCGTCCGTTGGAGCAGAAGTCCATGGGCAGTATTCTGATAACCGTAGTCAACACTCTGAGGACCGTAGGCAGTATTCTGATAACCGTACTCAACATGCTGGTGACCGTGGGCAGTATTCTGATAACCGTAGTCAACATGCCGGGGACCGCGGCCAATATTCTGGTGACCGCAGCCAGTCCGCCAACAAGAACGAATTCAAGGTTCCAAATGAACCATTTGACAAGGTATAAAATATTAGCTGGGTTGTTTATTTAATAGTGGAAATCGGTTTTTTTCAGTTAAAATAATTGTATTTCATGGTTTCTTAGTTCTCTTCAAAATAACTTGCACATATCTGCTTCAGTAACATTGGAGGAAATTGATAGAATCAAACACTTTACAAGATAGTAAAACGATGATATCTTCCACATATAATGTCAGATGAAAGGTTCAAAGGGTACCTTTGTTAATCGAACTTGTACTCTCGTGTATTGTAAGGCCACTTAATAATTGCCTCATAAAGATTTTTTTTTTCTGGGGGGGGGGGTTAGTAAAAACCTAAAAAGACACATTTGCTTAATCTTTGTTAGTATTGTATTAATAATTTGAAGTATGAATTATTACCATAAAAAGGTTTAAGTAAAATATATTACTGAAGTGATATTGTATTAGAAACGAGGTGGAAGAGGTAGGACTGAAAGAGATGGAGGGGGCAGAGGAGGAGGAGGAGAAGGTGGTAGCTGGGGTGGAGGTGGAGGAGGCAGTAACTGGGGTCGTGGAGGAGAAGGAGGACCCCCTTCAGGTTCACGTTGGACACCTTCTCCTTCCTTTAGAGCTGCACCTTCACCTAGTGGAGCTGATCTCCAGGATTTCGGAGACATGGGAGCAGCAGCCAGGAGCTACTCTGGAGCAAGCAAAAGTAAAGGTAGTTTAGCTGTTGGATTTACATGAGACCTCAGAATATTTATTTTTTATAATTGACAACCATGTCATTTTTAATTCAGACTCCAACAGTCATTTTCCCCATGATTTTTGTTTCCTTCAAAGCCGCAACAAATTAAATATATAATTGTTATTTTTATATTTATTATTTTTTATATCTATATCATAAAACAAGACATTCATATACATGTTCCCTATAGCCGGCCAAACGGTTGGACCGATTGGGCTGAAATTTTTTGTGGACACACTTAAGGGTGTTACAGGCTAAAAAATTCGATTTTTTCCACGGGCAGCGCCAGGCCCTTCAGCTTGTAGTATTTAACATGTTTCAGGTGAATCGGGATTTTCGAGAGTTGAAGATATGCCAAGACATAAAGATACAAACCAGTACAGGTAGATTTATAATTAATCTAGGATATAAACCAGTACAGGTAGATTTATAATTAATCTAGGATATAAACCAGTACAGGTAGATTTATAATTAATCTAGGATATAAACCACAGTACAGGTAGATCTAGAATTATTCTAGGATACAAACCACAGTACAGGTAGATTTATAATTAATCTAGGATACAAACCAGTACAGGTAGATTTATAATTAATCTAGGATATAAACCAGTACAGGTAGATTTATAGATAATCTAGGATATAAACCACAGCACAGGTAGATTTATAATTAATCTAGGATACACACCAGTACAGATAGATTTATAATTAATCTAGGATATAAACCAGTACAGGTAGATTTAGAATTGATCTAGGATACAAACCAGTACAGGTAGATTTATAATTAATCTAGGATACACACCAGTACAGATAGATTTATAATTAATCTAGGATATAAACCAGTACAGGTAGATTTAGAATTGATCTAGGATACACACCAGTACAGATAGATTTATAATTAATCTAGGATACAAACCAGTACAGATAGATTTTTAATTAATCTAGGATACACACCAGTACAGATAGATTTATAATTAATCTAGGATATAAACCAGTACAGGTAGATTTAGAATTGATCTAGGATACAAACCAGTACAGGTAGATCTAGAATTAATCTAGGCACATTATCTTTTCCTTCATGGCTGTAGAAATCCGCGAGTTAATTACGTAAATCTATATTTATATATTTATTTTCATTTAAAAATCATTTATTTTCATTCAAAACCCATTTATTTTCATTAAAAAATCATTTATTTTCATTCAAAAATCATTTAATTTCATTCAATAATCATTTATTTTCACTAATTCAGCGAGAAAAAAAAAAACATATATAACTTTTGTAGATAACAAATATTTTCTAAGGGGGGTGATTTGTTAAGGAAAATATACACCCCTTATTAAGTCGTTGACTGTCCCTTTGATTCAGGTTAGAACACGGACTCACAGTATTTGATAGATCCGCATCTCAGAGTGAAGGATTGTCCCTGGTCCCGGACCCGTTCCAGAGGTTCCAGGATTTCCCGGGGATTACACCCCAGCAGCTGAACTGTTTCCTCGCCGCAGGGTTCACTACACCAACTCCAATACAGGTATAGACGAAATTATTTTCCCACATTTCTCCCCCCCCCCCAGCCCAGCCCAGCTTTCCCCCGCATTTTTTTTATTTTGAGTTCAAAAATATACATTTTCTTAAATAAGATATTCTTAAATGTACATTTCCTCAAATAAGAAATTCGTTAATTCTCAAATGAGAAATGTTCAAATGCACATGATCTCATTTGAAATCTTCTTAATTTATGTTTCCTCAAACGAGCACTTTTTAAATGAGAAATTCTCACATGTACATTCTGATATGTACATCCCAATGCACACATTCAGTGTATGCATAGTTGGGCTAGGTTTTGTTAAACGGACTGTAAGCGTAATTTTAAGTGACCTTTCATGCAAATATGACAATGACAGATTTACAACGGTACCCTTGAACTCTTTGTCTTTTAAGGATAATTAGATATCAATATTTTTGTTACTTTAAACTGTTTATTTTCATTTGCGGTTTCTCTGCGAAAGTCCTTGTTTAAGAGAAGCAACAGGAAACTCACAAATATGAATAATATTCGAGTCAGAAAAACGACTCTTCAGTTTTTATCTGATAAAGGTTTCAAGGAGTGCTTAGGATCCATTTAAATTTGATGCGGATCCGGATCCGGATCCTGGATCCACATTGAAAAAAATGGATCCGGATCCAGGTCATTTCTTTAAGATTTACTGAATTTTTTTAACAAAAAATAATTTTCAGATTTTTGTTTTATTTTTTTCGCTTATGTTTATCCTAAAAATTGAGGAACCATTCAGAAATGAGGAAATTTTTATAATCTTCTTTTTTTCAAAAGTTCAGATTTGGGTTTTAGGAGAAAAAAATTTTGTTTTGTAGTTTTTGGTTGATATTTTGCCCTGGATCCGGATCCGGATCCAGGAAGCCATAATCTTGCGGATCCAACGGATCCGGATCCGATCAGGATCCTAAGTACTGGTTTCAAGGGTTCCCGTGTTAATCGGGCACTACCATCGTTGCCTGGAGTGCAGTTGAAATTCCGCTTCTAAACCATTAAAGTCATGTTTGCAAACTACATTATTTTATATTTTTGATTAAACGATTTCTTTTTTCTTTTTTTAACGATGCTTTTAAATGATAATCTGTGAAGTTGAACCATTTCATAGTAGATTATTCAAGGCATACATTTTTTGAAACTTTATTTTTTTAACCCCCCCCCCCTATCCCCTCTTAAAAATCTTTACTTTATTCCCGTATGTATTTTATGGAAGTTCCCCAGAGTATTTAAAATATATAAGATAAAGCTGACATTATTAAACTTTTACTGAAAACATATAATTTTTTTAACACAAAATTAGAAGATTAAATGAATTATTTAACACAAAATTAGAAGATTAAATAAATTATTTAACACAAAATTAGAAGATTAAATGACCCACTTGGGCGTTTACAATGAGTTACAAGTTAACAAAGCAACGAAACAGTGAGACAAACAATGAAATCTTTGATTTGAGGTTATTATATTGTTTTTTTTTTCTCGTTTCAGGCCCAATCCTGGCCTATAGCCATGAAGGACCGTGACTTAATTTCAATTGCCAAAACAGGTTCCGGCAAAACATTGGCTTTTCTGCTTCCTGCTTTCAAGAAAATGGATGCCAGGTAATCTTTATATATGCTTTGCTTGTCTGTCTGTCCGTTTGTATTCAAAAAACGTCAGAACGACTGAACTGATCGGGCCCAAAATTGTTGTGACCTAAGGTATGATTTATGGATGATTAAAGTGAAAAAATAGAAGATGGGTGCGAAGCGTCATAAAATCTTAGTTATTGTATATTTGTCGTAAAATTATATGTTATTGTCTCCAAATTTTTATTTATTTTCTTGGAAATTTTTCTCTTTTTTCAAAAATTTCAATTCAACACTAAAAACTTTACACTTTTTTATTTGACACTTTGTTTAATATTATATATTTATATATATATATATATAGTTATATGACATGATGTTTGATACTAGATCTAGTGGAGGGCGGGAGAGAAATAAACAAATAAACTGTTTAGTCCTGGCTCCTACTAGAGAACTAGCAACACAGATTCAGGTATTCATATTTCACAGGGGTTAATATAGTCCTGGCTCCTACTAGAGAACTAGCAACACAGATTCAGGTATTCATATTTCACAGGGGTTAATATAGTCCTGGCTCCTACTAGAGAACTAGCAACACAGATTCAGGTATTCATATTTCACAGGGTTAATATAGCCCTGGCTCCTACTAGAGAACTAGCGACACAGATTCAGGTATTCATATTTCACAGGGGTTAATACTTGACAATGTTGTACTAAGCATCATATCCGCAGATCTGAAAAAAAAAACTGTCGGAAAACAAGTCAAAATTAGCAAATTAGTTTTGGTAAAAGAAATTAGCAAAACTGTAATAAATGGTGATGAATTGGATGCAGATACAGACTTGTACAAGACAGATACAAGGTCTGGAACTAGATACAGACTTGTACAGGACAGATACAAGATCTGGAACTAGATACAGACTTGTACAATACATATACAAGATCTGGAACTAGATACAGACTTATACAAGATCTGGAACTAGATACAGACTTGTACGAGACAGATACAAGATCTGGAACTAGATACAGACTTGTACAAGACAGATACAAGATCTGGAACTAGATACAGACTTGTACAAGACAGATACAAGATCTGGAACTAGATACAGACTTGTACAGGACAGATACAAGATCTGGAACTAGATACAGACTTGTACAGGACAGATACAAGGAGTGGAACTGGAGCAAATGGATCTTTTGCAGTAATATTTGGCTACAATGAATCCCAGATATATGAATACATAGACCGTCATAAGTTTTTTGATAATGATAATTCTAAAGAAACTTCTTTTTATTTTTACTCCAAGGTATATTAATAGCCCTGAAATATGAATGCAATTGATATTTTAATATTAAACTCATTCCTCCGCAGCATTTGATCTTAAATATGTAATAAGACATTAAAAAAACTTTTACATTTTAATATTAAACAAAATAAGGGGAAATAGACAACTTTTGCTATAGCTATGAAATATACTGGATTTTTTTAAGCGTATTTTTTGTAAGCTTTAAAGGGAGAATGAGCGTAATTTTAAGTGACTCTCCATGCAAAGAGCCTTAAATGATCAAGTTTGAATTGTATATCAATTTTTATATTTTTAAAAACTGATAATTTTCCATTGTGCTTTCTTTTCAAAAGTGACTTGTGCAATTCTACTGCAGGAAAACAAAAGGGAATTATCATAATTGAACACTTTTGATCCTAGAAAAAAAACGGAAAATATTTTATTGATCTGATAAAGATTTTAAGGGTAACCAGTGCTTAGGATCCGGATCCGTTGGATTCGCAAGATCTTGGCTTCCTGGATCCGGATCCGCAAAAATATGCGGATCCACGGATCCGGATCCAAGGGAATCAACCAAAAACTGAAAAAAACTTTTTACTCCTGAAACCCAAATCTGAACTTTTGAAAAAAAGAGATTATAAAAATTTCCTCATTTCTGAATGGTTCATCAAGTTTTTGGATAAAAATGACCGAAAAAAATAAACAAAAAATTTGAAAATAAATTTTGAAAATAAATTTTTGTTAAAAAATTCAGTAAATCTTAAAGAAATGACCTGGATCCGGATCCATTTTTTTCAGAGCTGATCCAGGATCCGGATCCGCATCAAAATTAAATGGATCCTAAGCACTAAGGGTAACATTGTGAATCGGGCATTGTCATTTTTGTTCCCTTGAAATTACGCTTACATTTCCTTCAGGAGGAGGCGGTTAAGTTTGAAGGAGCAGGATACAAGAGCGCGTGCGCGTATGGTGGAGCACCCAAGAAAGACCAACTCAGGTGGAACCTTTTAATTTTCCTGAAATAAGCTGTTGTGTCTTAAACCAACTGGCTCCATGGAGGTCATACTTAAGTTGAGGTCAAACTGGAGGCCAGGTAGCTGTGCTTATTGAAGCACTTGATTTATTTGGTTGCTAATACAATACATTCATGGCCTTGAAAAGATGAAATATTAAATTAAAATCTTAAATTCTGGCAAACCTGAAGTTTGAGGTGGCATGCAAAATTTAAGTTTTTTGGGGGCAAAACGCAGCCTGCTCAAAATGATAATTATGATAATAATGATATTAATGATAATTATAATCTTAATGATTATAATGATAATAATGATAATAATGATAATAATGATAATACTAATAATAACGATAATAATGATAATAATGATAATTATGATAATAATGATAATAATGATAATAATGATAATAATGATAATAATAATAATGATGATAATGATGATAATAATGATAGTAATGAAAGTAATGATAATAATGATAAACATGATAATGATAATAATGAAATAATAATAATAATAATAATAATAATAATAATAATAATAATAATAATAATAATAATAATAATAATAATAATAATAATAATAATAATAATAATAATGATAATGATAATAATGATAATAATGATAATAATGTTGATAATGATAATAATGATAATAATGATAATAATGATAATGATAAACATGATAATAATTATGTTTAGATGTATACAAGGAGCCAATATCCTAGTGGCTACTCCAGGCCGTCTCCTAGACTTTCTAGAGGGAGGACAGGTAATATACCTTCACGGTGGATCATGTATAAATGAAGCTGTTCATTGATGCAGCTTTTCAGTGTTGTAGATTTTTATTGATGGAGCTTTTCATTGACGGAGCATTTCATTGTTGGAGCTTTACATTGATGGGGCTTTTCATTAATGGAGCTTAATTGATGGGGCTTTTCATTGAAGGAGCTTTTCATTATCTGATGAATTGATCTGGATATTTGATTTAGTGATGAAGGCTTGATGGATATTTTATTGATTGATTTAATAAGACTGATAGATGGATATTTGATTTGATTTGTGAGTGAGTAGAGTGAGTGGAGTAAGTCGAGTGATTGATTGATTGATTGATTTTATTAGGTTGACCTGAGTGGTGTATTCTACCTGGTAATGGATGAGGCTGACCGTATGCTGGATATGGGGTTCGAACCTCAGATTAGAGATATATTAAAGAAGGTAATAAATACAGGGGTTGAAGAGGATCTATTTTCTCCTCAAATCCCAACTAGAAATCCTGGAAGGAGAAGGAGAAAATACGGGAAATCCATTAGTTCTCCAACCTGCATCAGGTCAAAATGTCCTCCTGCGTAGTAGTTTATTACCTGCAAATATATTGATAAAAACTAATAAACCTCTAAAGGGTATACATTTTTATAATACCACCGGGGTTAGGGGTGTCTCTCATTATCGAAGATGTGGGGGGAGGGAGGGGTTGAAAAATTAAACATCTCTCAATTGTTATCGATTTTTGAGCTGCTTTTTCACTTTTTGTGATACTTACTTATTTTCCCCTAATTTCCAATTAGAAATGTTCTCCTCCATCGCGTAGATATAAAGTACACAACTATTTTTCTTTCTTTTCAAGGTACCAAAACGCAGACAAACCTTGATGTTTTCGGCCACATGGCCGGAGGATGTTAGACGATTGGCTCAGGGAAACCAGTTGAATAAAATCATGCTTTATTGTCCCGCCTGGATTTTAACTGTAAGCGTAATTTCAAGTGACCTTCCATGCAAAGTTGGCATTATCTGATGTATAACGCTACCCTTAAAACCGTACGAGATCAATCGTGTAGGGGAGAGCACATTTTGTGCCCCCCCCCCTGCCTTAAAAACCCCTTTTTGAAAAAAATATTGATACCTTTTTTAACTATGTAAATTATTCGATCAATTACACACTTCCATATTACAGTGTTGATAATATATGTATGTGTGCCCCCCTCAGGGAGTGGGGGGGGCGAGTTTTCAGCCACTCTGTCTTATGCCCCTGCTAATCAAGTATGAATTAGATATTATTGTTTTTGTTTCCCTAAACTATTCATTTTCATTGGTGGGTTTTCTGGGAAAGCGACCTGCGCATTTCTTGCTTATTTGAATCAATAGAGAAACTCACAGAATTAAACACTTTTTGAGTCGGAAAAACGGTTAATTGTATTTTCCACATTTTGACCAAAATAAGGTTTCATTATACCGTTGTAAATCGGACATTGCAAGCTTTGCATGGAGGGTCACTTAAACTTACATTTACCGTTCCTTTAAGTTTATCATTTAACAACCAAATTCATATCGATATAACTCGAGTTCTTTAGGTCACCATGTAATTTGCGGGTACTTCCCTTGTTTGTTATTTATTTTATGATATATTGATTTGCTGTCGATATTAATAAGTTGCATTTCATAATTTGATCTTCAACATTTTCCAGCTGTTTTCTAAATCTCGAAATATTTGCCCTTAATTTTTTAAAATTTTCTTAAGGGGAGGGTCAGTTAAAACGATAAGTGAAAAACTTAAACATGGAAAAGTGAATAACATTTGTTCCCACATTTTTTGTTGTTGAAGCACAAATGATGCCCATTTGCAAATTTTTTTCAAATCCCTCAAAAAATGTAGACAGGATTCGTAAATGTATTTAAATTCCTCAAAAAATGAAGACAGGATTCGTAAATGTATTATATATATATCCATATACAGGTAGTTCTTCATATATCCATCCATATATACATATATATCCATATACAGGTAGATCTTCATATATCCATCCATATAACCTGCCTCTTGACTTAAAAAGAAGCAACTCTCTAAGTATAATTGAAAATAGACTACTAAACTCTCTTTTAAATTACATTACAATGTGTTTTAAACCAAATTGTTACTCATGTAAAACTTATAAAATATATTTTAATATGTTTGAGATTTGTTTTGTACATGTCAGAAAATTATTTTAAAATCTATTTATTCTAATCAATGTATAAACTATTTTGCATAGGATAAAATCGCAACCTGATCTCCAATAGTTCTCCTCTAAAATCTTTTTAATTGAAATTGCTTTAATTCAATTGTAACATCGTTCTGTATACACAGATACATGTATTTAGCAATAAACTTTATCTATCTATCTATCTATCCATCCTTATATATACATTTCCATTCATTCATTCATCCATATATATATCCATTCATCTATCTATCTATCCGTATATCTATCCATATACAGTAAGGGGGGTCGATTTTGACATTTTATTAAAAATCTAAATATTGTCAGTTGGTATTGGATGGGTATTGTCAATCTGAACAACTTTTAGAAAAAAGTTATTTTGTAAAATTAAAATTGTCATGCGAAAATGACTTTAGGGAGTGGAAAAAAATCAAGAATATCATAAGTAAATTTTTTTTATTTAAAAAATATGTCGATATGGGTAACTGAGAGTCCGCTGATTACTACTGCCCCTTTGTTTTCGTATCGATATCTTGAAAATTGTTACATCTAGGGCCAAAAAACTGGTACTTTTGGGATTTTGGACTAATTTTTCGCTCAAAAACAGTTTTTTGGTAATAGCGGATTTTGATAATTTCAACGTTTCTGAGTTCAGTGTTCGAAAAAATTCTTTTTTTGCATGAGTTAGGGAATTTTTCGACTTTAAAACTCAGAAAACCCGGTTTCCTCATGGCAATTTAGATTTTTCAAAAAATCATCTTTTCTAATGTTGCTTGTACATCTAAATCTCTTCCAATTCCGAGTGACACAGTGTAATTGGAAAAATCGACCCCCCTTTCTATACAGATGGGAAACCCAGAGGACGGACTCAGAGCTAACGAGGACGTTACTCAACATCTTGTTCTTCTCAGGTTAGTGGAGAGGACAAAAACTAGGACAAAGATTAGGATAAGAATTAGGTTAAGAACAAGAATCAGGGTAAGGACAAGAAATGGATCAGGGTTATGACAGAAATCAGGATAAAGAGGAAGACGAGAACAATATCAATGAAATTGACAAGGATTAGGATATGTGCTAAGAACAGGATTAACACCAGGATTAAGAACAGGGTTGAAACCAGAATTAGGACCAGGATTAAAACCAGGATTAAGAACAGGACTAAAACCAGGATTAAGACCAGGAGTAAAACCAGAATTAGGACCAGGATTAAAACCAGGACTAAAACCAGGATTAAGACCAGGATTAAGAACAGGATTAAAACCAGGATTAAGAACAGGATTTAGAACAGGATTAAGAACAGTATTAAGAACAGGATTAAGAACAGGATTAAGAACAGGATTAAAACCAGGATTAAGAACAGGATTAAGAACAGGATTAAGAACAGTATTAAGAACAGTATTAAGAACAGTATTAAGAACAGGTTTAAGAACAGGATTAAGAACAGGATTAAAACCAGGATTAAGAACAGGATTAAGAACAGGATTAAGAACAGTATTAAGAACAGGATTGAGACATTAAATACTTCGGATTTACATTATACAGGGTGAGACTTGAATGACGACAAAGGGCTCTTTAAATATACCTTAAGTATCGTCTTTATATAATAAACTAGATTAGTTTGCAAACATATAAACAAACAGTTGCAGTTGCAGTTGCAGTTGCAGTTGCAGGTGCAGTTGCAGTTGCAGTTGCAGGTGCAGGTGCAGTTGCAGTTGCAGTTGCAGTTGCAGTTGCAGGTGCAGTTGCAGTTGCAGGTGCAGGTGCAGGTGCAGGTGCAGGTGCAGGTGCAGGTGCAGTTGCAGTTGCAGTTGCAGTTGCAGTTGCAGTTGCAGTTGCAGTTGCAGTTGCAGTTGAATTCTCAACCTGCGTGGTTAACCCTGTATAGTGTAATTGTATACCCCTATTAATAATATGATAAACCCCTAATATGTTCAGGTCTGGAGAGGACAAGGATGGAGAATTATTAAACCTATTCACTCAAAGATTCAACAGCAACAGGTAGGGTAGAGAACTAACCATTAGCTGGGTTTTCTCTATATGCTGGAGACATTATTTGAGTATTAATAAATATTGGTAAAAATAATCAATATTTTATAGACTTAACGTGGATATTCTCAATATATCTCTAATTGATGGTCTAGAGATAATTAACAAAAATAACCACAAAACACATAATAATGACATTTTATGAAAAAAATATTACCTCTCCAGTTTTTTGCATTGAAAATTCAAATAACGTTATTGAAAATCTTGCTTTACAATATACATTTGGCGGGAAGCTTTGTCTTAAATAGTTTTCTTAAATACTTCTCAAAGAGGTAATCAGAAATGTGTATCAGAAATACCACTCTTTCAATGGTGGTGGGTCAATTACTTTTACGATAATAGTTCGTTTAAAGAAACATTGATCAATAAATATATGGGCATTCAATGTCTTAATTAATTACGACTCAAATTTACATTTTACATTTATTTCTAGCGTTTTTATCTAGAGATTTGGTTCTGGTGTTTGTTGCGCGGAAGAACACTTGTGATTTTGTAGCGAATATGCTGAACAGAAAGGGAATCAGGTCAGGTTTGAAATAAGTTTAAAAAATTTCAATCATTGATGTTAAAAACGATTTTACTGTTTTTGTTAATTTGTTGTATTATGTTTTGGGTTTTGTGTTTTGGCTTTGATGTGTAATTGATTTGTCAAAAAAAAATTATTGTTTGGGTGATCAATTGAAGTTATCTTTTGGTAAGTTAATTGATTGATTTTTTTGGTCAAGTAAATAATTGATTGATTGGTTGAATAATTGATATTTTTAATGTGTGGTTCATTGTGTTATTTATTTAATGTTTTGTAATGTGATTGATTTTTTTTGTTGGGTGGGGTTGAGAGTGTGTGACACCAGTGTTCGTTAGATCACTGAAGTTAAGCACACTTGTCCACAAACAGTAAATGGATTGGTGTCCAGACTGGTGTTCACGGGTTCGATTCCCGTACTCCACACAAACCTGTGGTTTCAAAAACATCTTAAGCCGACATCTGGTTAAGCAGTTATGACCACCTGACGGATGTAGGAGGACAGAGGGGCGGCTGTCAACAACTCTCGCATCGAAAGGGTGCGTGCTTTCTACTCAACAAGAAAGAAGCTTCAAGTGGGATTGATCCAAGGAATGATGATGAAGAGAGGAATAGTGGACAAGCAGGGAGGAGGGGAGGAAGGCCAACCACATCAATCTCTAGTCCGAACCACATTCTCATCATTTTCTCGTCCGAACCACATCGAAATCCTCGTCCTTTCAATATTATTTTTTTTTAAGTGTCCGATCCTTGAAAATAAATACATTTTTTAAAAATATGGCAACGTTAGGGCATAAAACATGACTAGAATAAAGTTTTCCAAGGATTTTGAGATGTTGAAATCTTCAAATCCACGAGAATGATGTCAAACATTATTTAGGTTAAAAATTGAATCTCCTCTGCCTCCCAAATGGATAACTTTCACAAATAAAAATTTATACCAAAGAATTCGCGTGAACATGGTCTTTAATCTTTCCATTTCAACCCATACAAAATAATCATTGATTTCTGATTTATTTACAAATAAGGTAGATTGTTGTCCCCACTAAGAGACCACTGCTGCCTGCCGCATGCTTAAAATTATAGAAAAAATAATGTTCAATTTATATTATTCAAATCATTTGCTACAATTAATTGGTCACAACCCTATGAATTCAAACAGTATTTAATCATATAAAAATTGTAAGTCATATCTCTAACCCAAATTCAGCTTGAATATTACAAAAAGTTGTTTACATGAAGTTTGAGAATGTTTTGCGGCATTTTCCGCAAAAGAAAGGGCTCTTAAACAGACGCTGTTTTGTAGAACATCGTTTATGGAGCAGTTTCATTTTTACACAAATCTAAAATTTAATTGGGAAAATTTGATATTTCATCTATGCCCTAACGTCGCCAGATTTTTTAAAAATATATTTATTTTCATGGATCGGACACTTAAAAAAAATAATATTGAAAGGACGAGGATTTTCATGTGGTTCGGACGAGAAAATGATGAGAATGTGGTTCGGACTAGAGATTGATGTGGTTGGCCTTCCTCCCCTCCAGGGAGAGTCTATGGTTGCCTATCAGTATGCCACCCGGGCCTCATTCCAGTATATCAGAAGAATTCCTGCACTCTATATTCTCAGGCCTAAGAAGCACTTATGCGGCTGGAATCTTGTCAACGCTCTTCTCAGTATGAATGAAGCATGTATGGATGAATGTGCTTCCAGATTACAACCCCTGGTAGATCAATAAAAAAAAAACTCAGATAACACGAAACTTTCGCTATAGAAAAAAAATCCGAGATTTGATCGTAACAACCTGATCATGTCCTGGGGACAAAAAATCTTTTTTTAAAAAGATTTATTGTTTTTTTATTCTTTGGTCGGTTTGGTCTTAGCTGACTGTTTGATTGATTGGTATGTTTAAGTTTATAGCTAGTGATATGCATTGATTGATTGATTGATTGATTTATTGATTTTTAGGGCTAGTGCTATGCATAGTGATCGGACCCAGGAATATAGAGAGCAGACTTTAGCCTCCTTCAAGGAACCAGATCTTAATTTTAAATATTCATAAATATAATTTTTAACATTAATGAATTAAACGAATTGGGGACTAGATATTCGGAGTATTTAATTATCCAAAGTTTGATAATGGTACTCGGATAATGGTACTCGGATAATGGTACTCGGATAATGGTACTCGGATAGGGTTACAAATTTCACAAAATGAAGGGGCTTCTTTAAATAATAATTTCTTGCTCCGAATTTCGAACTTTTTTATATTTCATTCTTAGATTCCTTTTGTAAACGCACGGAATAAAATGATCAGGATTTGTCTCATACCAGATAGAAATTAAACTAAATCGGCGCCACTGTTTCTCAAACATAAGTTTCGTTTAGTTCTTTTTGTCACTTTCAATAATTTTCGGATTTTCCTTTTTTTATTGGTAGATTTCCAACAAATTGTAACGATGCATTTTTTGAAAAAATTTTAAATTTCGACTGGCCATAAACATCAGCTTACCCGGGTTCAGTGAGTTAACACAATAAATTTGGTCCTGATTAGTTCAGACGTTCTTAAGTTTATTAGAGTTGACAAAGAAACAAACAGAAAAGCCCAATGAATATACAAATTATGTAAGACTGGTTTAGAATGGGAGTTGTCCCGTCCTAGTCGCCACTGATGTTGCATCAAGGTATACTTACTGAGAAAGAGGGGACGTTATTTAAGAGGGTGGAATGTTATTTAAGATGTTGGAACGTTATTTAAGATGTTGGAAGGTTATTTAAGATAAACGAACGTTATTAAAAAGATTGGAACGTCATTTAAGAGAGTGACTTATTATTAGAGAGGATGGAATGTTATTAAAAAGGGTGAAACGTTTTCAAAGAGGGTGGAACGTTATTAAAGAGGATGGAATGTTATTTTGAGAGAGCGGAATATTACTAACGTTGGATGGATCGTTATACAAGAAGGTGACACATCAAAAAAAGAGGTACACAACATTATCCAAGAGGACGTAACGTTGTTAAAGAGGCTAGAACGGTATCAAAGAGGATTGCACATTACTTTAGAAGGTGAAACGTTAATAAAGAGTGTGGAACGTTGTTTATAAGAGATTGAGATTCAAGAAATATGATGAAAGAGGGTGCTTTTAAAAAAAGAGTGTGGAACATTATTTAATATGGAAGGGGTATAAAACTTAATTGAAAAAAGAATATGTGCCCATATTCAATTTCTACATCTTAAATATGTTAACACTGTGTTTTCCCTCAGGCATAGTTCAGTACCACTAAAAAAGAAAGGAAACTTATTTTCACAGGAACTGAAAAAGTGTAATTAAACATTAAGAAAAACTTGTACAAGATCTGTTAGAAAAATTATCTGATAGTATTTAAATTTATATTTATATTTATATTTATATAGGTTGCAGAGAAACCTAGTGTTGCAGAAATGATTTATTATTTGGGTGTTGATGGATACAGAGAAACCTAGCGTTTGCAAAGATGATTTATTATTTAGTTATATTTATATTCTAGAGGTTTGGATGTGAAGGGAGTTAGTGCGGTGATAAATTATGATTTAGCAAACAATACTGAAGATTATGTACATAGGTGAGGAATTTTATGTAAATTGAACACATCTACAATCTACACATGTACAGTGTAAAATGTACATTTAAGAAATTATATTTACATAGTACACAGCTTTGTAAAGTTAATTATTCATGATTTTTTTTTCACTTACAATAATTATATTCTATACATTAAATGTTTTAATATTTTTACATATTTTTTAACATCGTTTTAGACTTAAAACAATGTGTTAGAAAGAATTTATTTTTTAAACATTTTTATTGAATAGATGAATATTTTTACGTATGAAAATTTTAAAATTTCAACCTTTTTTTGCTTAAATTGTTCAAGATAAACTTTGTTGTATAAAGAAAAACAAACTTGATTGATTGATTGATTGCTTGATGGATTGATTGATTGATTGATAGATTGATTAATAGATCTCTTGATGGATTGGTGGATTGGTGGATTAATTGATCTCTTGATGGATTGGTGGATTGATGGATTGATTGATCTCTTGATGGAATGGTGGATTGATTGATCTCTTGATGGATTGATTGATTGATCTCATTGACTGATTGATTTATTGATTGATTGCTTTCTCTCTTGATTAATATATTGATTGATTGCAGAATTGGAAGAACTGGACGAGCTGGTTGTAAAGGAGAATCTTTTACCTTTCTCACAAGGTTGGTTTTATTCTTAATCTAATAATAAATATGGAGAAGGTGGGGGGGACGGGGTGTACAGTGAAGATCAGTTTATAATATCTAGAAAAACAAAGAAAAAAATCGCCAATTTTTTAAAGAAGATTATGAATATCTCATGCACGCTTGATGAAGATGTCATTGATAATTAGACTGTTTAAGGAGTGGTGAGGATGTCTGGAAAGCTATGGGTATAGTCGAAGTAATGCAGAAAACTAGTAAGCATTTTTTATATTTTTTTCTATTTGTCGATCTGTCTTTTCTCTGCATTTCTTTTGATCCTAAACTTACTAGTTTCTTAATTCAAATTAGAGCTAGGATGTAAATGTATAGTATTCGCCCGTCTACAGGCCGATATGATGAAAATTATTTCTGGGCACGGGCAGCTGGAGTACATTTGAATTTCCGAGCCAGGTCAACCTTTCCGGTCTTAGTTTGTACTGTACCGCCTGGCAGGGGTCAACAAAGATTGTCTAGCTCTGATTACAGGACTAGCTGGGGCAACGAGGTTGACGCGGTCAGACTTTACACTTCTATAAGTTGAATTTCTTTTATTACAGCGACAGATCTGCGTGTAGGGTCGACTACGAAAGTAGCTTTTCTATCAATTGATTTTATCTATCTATTTGTCGATCTGTCTTTTCATTTGTCGATCCTTCTATCTATCTTTTTGTCGATCAATCTTTCATTTAACTATATTTCTACATAAAAATATATGCATATATCTATCCAATTATCCATCTATCTATCTTTCTATATCTATCTATCTATCTATCTATATCTATCTATCTATCTATCTATCTATCTAGATCAGAGTATACCTGTAGAAGTGAAGGAACTTGTTGACCGGCAGTTAGATCGTCAGCAGATAAATCAACAGAGAAGGAATCAAGAGGATCAACAATTCCAGAAGGTTAGATCAGGGTTTCATACCTCCAGGGGTTAGGTTAGGTTAGATCAGGGTTTCATACCTCCAGGGGTTAGGTTAGGTTAGATCAGGGTTTCATACCCCCAGGGGTTAGGTTAGGTTAGATCAGGGTTTCATACCTCCAGGGGTGGCCAATTTGTACGGATTGTGTAATTGTTCGGATTTTTTTACTTTTTACCAAAAATTGTACGGATTGTACGGATATAATATAATGTCTCAAATTGTACGGATTTTCAGGATTTTTAGCCCGGAAAACATTATTGTTTTATTTATTTATTTGTTGTTACAATGAGCAATCAAATTCATGCTTTCATCTTTTTGAGAATATGTTCCGAAAGTGTTCATTCGAGAACTGTTCCAGAAACACATGGTGTCCCACAAAAGATGGTTGCAGAGATGATTTATTATTTGGGTGTTGAATGTTGATGGTTGCAAAGAAACCACGTTTTGAAAATATGATTTATTATTTAGGTGTTGATGGTTACTGAGAAACCTAGCGTTTGCAAAGATGATTTATTATTTGAGCGTGATGGTTGCAGAGAAACCTAGTGTTGCAGAAATGATTTATTATTTGGGTGTTGATGGATACAGAGAAACCTAGCGTTTGCAAAGATGATTTATTATTTAGGTGTTGATGGTTTCAGAGAAACCTTGTGTTCAAAATATGATTTATTATTTAGGTATAGATGGTTTCAGAGAAACCAAGTGTTGCAAAGATGATTTATTATTTGAGCGTGATGGTTGCAGAGAAACCTAGTGTTTCAAAGATGATTTATTATTTAGGTGTTGATGGTTGCAGAGAAACCAAGTGTTGTAAAGATGATTTATTATTTAGGTGTTGATGGTTGCAGAGAAACCTAGTGTTGCAAAGATGATTGCTGAACACCTGTCTGGAGGAAGATTCAGGGATATATATTAATCAGTTCTTGAAAACTTATTCTCAACAAATTTCTTGCAATATTGTTATTTTTATTATCATTGTCACTTTCATTGATATTTTCATTATCATTATCATTTTCATTGTTAATTGTCAATTTGCCAATTTTATTATTATTATTACTTCTCTGTTATTTTCCTTGTCATTGTTAAGTTTTTGTTATTTTATTTGTCATTTTCATTGCTATTTACTTCATCATTGTCATTGTTATTGTTATTTAAAGGAAAAATTTACTATTGTTGTTGCAGTGTCGTTGTTCTTTAATGGATTTGTGATTTTTATATTTTTTAGTTGTTATTGCTATTGATATTGTCATTGTTATTGCTTTTGTCATTGTTATTGTTTTTGATATTTTTATTTTAAAGATAATTTGTCTGGTAATTGTTATTTGTTGCCCTTGTTTTTATTGTCATTGTCGTTGTATATGCTGTTGTTAATGTTAATATTATTATCAATATCATCATAATTATTATGTTGATCTGATTAAGAATTCTATCTGTAGGATAAGAAAAGGACAGTCTCGTGCAAACCAGATTTTTGAGTTCATTAAATACTTCGGACCCTGCCAGCAGCGCTGCAAGATAATTGTGACAAGTGTTGTTGGACACATTTACGGACTAACCTTTGAGGTAGTAAACTAGTGTTTTTGGACACATTTACGGACTAACCTTTGAGGTATAAAACTATTGTTGTTGGCCACATTTACGGACTTAACTTTGAGGTAGAAAACTAGTGTTGTTGGACACATTTACGACTAACCTTTGAGGTATAAAACTAGTGTTGTTGGCCACATTTACGGACTTCACTTTGAGGTAGAGAACTAGTGTTGTTGGACACATTTTCGGACTAACCTTTGAGGTAGAAAACTAGTGTAGTTGGACACATTTACGGACTTACCTTTGAGGTAGAAAACTAGTGTAGTTGAACACATTTACGGACTTACCTTTGAGGTAGAAAACTAGTGTAGTTGGACACATTTACGGACTTAGTGTAGTTGGACACATTTACGGACTTACCTTTGAGGTAGAAAACTAGTGTTGTTGGACATATTTACGTACTTAACTTTGAGGTAGAAAACTAGTGTTGTTGGCCACATTTACGGACTTAACTTTAAGGTAGAAAACTAGTGTTGTTGGACACATTTACGGACTAACCTTTGAGGTAGAAAACTAGTGTTGCTGGACACATTTACGGACTTACCTTTGCAGTAGAAAACTAGTGTTGTTGGACACATTTACGGACTTAACTTTGAGGTAGAAAACTAGTGTAGTTGGACACATTTACAGACTAACCTTTGAGTTAAAAAACTAGTGTTGTTGGACACATTTACGGACTAACCTTTGAGGTAGAAAACTAGTGTAGTTGGACACATTTACAGACTAACCTTTGAGTTAAAAAACTAGTGTTGTTGGACACATTTACGGACTAACCTTTGAGGTAGAAAACTAGTGTAGTTGGACACATTTACGGACTTACCTTTGAGGTAGAAAACTAGTGTTGTTGGACACATTTACGGACTTAACTTTGAGGTAGAAAACTAGTGTTGTTGGCCACATTTACGGACTTAACTTTGAGGTAGAAAACTAGTGTTGTTGGCCACATTTACGGACTTAACTTTGAGGTAGAAAACTAGTGTTGTTGGACACATTTACGGACTAACCTTTGAGGTAGAAAACTAGTGTTGTTGGACACATTTACGGACTTAACTTTGAGGTAGAATTTTTTTAGTAAAAATTTGTGGTTTTAAAGATTCTAAAAAAATAGCCATTTTTAAAATGAAGATCGACCCTTGGTTCATGTTCTGGTAAATGTTTACCCTTGATCCATCTTCTGGTGAATATTGAACCCCTGGTTCATCATCTGGTAATTGTTTACCCTTGGTCAATGTTCTGGTAAATATTAAATCCCTGGTTCATGTTCTGGTAATTGTTTACCCTTGGTCAATGTTCTGGTAAATATTAAACCCCTGGTTCATCATCTGGTAAATATATACCCTTGATCCATGTTCTGGTAAATATATACCCTTGATCCATGTCCTGGTAAATATAAACCCCTGGTTCATCATCTGGTAAATATATACCCTTGATCCATGTCCTGGTAAATATATACCCCTGGTTCATGTTCTGGTAAATATTAAACCCCTGGTTCATGATCTGGTAAATATATACCCTTGATCCATGTCCTGGTAAATATAAACCTCTGGTTCATCATCTGGTAAATATATACCCTTGATCCATGTCCTGGTAAATATATACCCCTGGTTCATGTTATGGTAAATATATACCCCTGGTTCATGATCTGGTAAATATATACCCTTGATCCATGTCCTGGTAAATATAAACCTCTGGTTCATGTTCTGGTAAATATAAACCCCTGGTTCATGTTCTGGTAAATGTTTAACCTTGGTCCCTGTTCTGGTAAATATATACCCCTGGTTCTGTCCTGGTAAATGTTTACCCTTGGTCAATGTTCTGGTAAATATAAACCTCTGGTTTATGTTCTGGTAAATATAAACCCCTGGTCCATGTTCTGGTTAATATATACCCCTGGTTCTGTTCTGGTAAATGTTTACCCTTGGTAAATATAAACCTCTGGTTTATGTTCTGGTAAATAACCTCTGGTTCATGTTCTGGTAAATATATACCCCTGGTCATGTTCTGGTTAATATATATTCCTTGTTCATATTCTGGTAAATGTTTACCCTTGGTCCATGTTCTGGTAAATATATACCCCTGGTCATGTTCTGGTTAATATATATTCCTTGTTCATGTTCTGGTAAATGTTTACCCTTGGTCCATGTTCTGGTAAGTGGTAAATATCAACCCCTGGTTCATGTTATGGTAAATATATACCTCTGGTTCTTGATCTGGTAAATGTATACTACTTGTTCACGTTTTAGTAAATATATACCCCTGGTTCATGTTTTAGTAAATATATACCCCTGGTTCATGTTTTAGTAAATATATACCCCTGGTTCATGTTTTAGTAAATATATACCCCTGGTTTATCAAAGGATGGAAGAGTGAGAGATCTGGGTCAACTGTTCTCAGCTAAATGCCAGAAAATTGTTGAGGACACAACAAAGAAGCTCAGGGTTGTAGAACACCTTCAGGTTACTGTTTAGGAAACTATAGTTAGATTGTTAGGAAACTAGAGTTAGATTTTTAGGAAACTATAGTTAGATTGTTAGGAAACTAGAGTTAGATTGTTAGGAAACTTGTTAGATTGTTAGGAAACTAGAGTTAGATTGTTTGAAAATTAGAGTTAGATTGTTAGGAAACTAGAGTTAGATTGTTAGGAAACTTGTTAGATTGTTAGGAAACTAGAGTTAGATTGTTTGAAAATTAGAGTTAGATTGTTAGGAAACTAGAGTTAGATTGTTAGGAAACTTGTTAGATTGTTAGGAAACTAGAGTTAGATTGTTAGGAAACTTGTTAGATTGTTAGGAAACTAGAGTTAGATTGTTTGAAAATTAGAGTTAGATTGTTAGGAAACTAGAGTTATATTGTTAGGAAACTATAGTTAGATTGTTAGGAAATTAGAGTTAGATTGTTAGGAAACTAGAGTTAGATTATTAGGAAACTAGAGTTAGATTGTTAGGAAACTAGAGTTAGATTGTCAAAAAACTAGAGTCAGATTGTTGGGAAATTAGAGTTATATTGTTAGGAAACTAGAGTTAGATTGTTAGGAAACTAGAGTCAGATTGTTGGGAAACTAGAGTTAGATTGTTAGGAAACTAGAGTTAGATATTGTTATGATAGAAGAAATATGTTGTCAGAAAACCAGAGTTTGGTTTTGAAAATAAGGAAGATTACAAAAATAAAGTTACCACATCGGAACTTGGCAGGCAGGGGTTCGTTTTAAGACTAAAACCAGCTCTAGGGAAGTGTTTTAGTCTTCTTTAAAACTTTTTAAAAATTTAGATAATTTGAAACAAATGTTTGTACAGGAGCTAGCAGCTGAGTCTGATTATTTGGCTTTATGGTTAGATTGTGACAGAGAGGGGGAGAATATAGGATTTGAGGTAAAAACTAACTATTTTTTTATTTTATTTTCAGTATTTTTTAAAACTATTTTTTAACTATTTTTACTATTTTTAAACTATTTCATTCCTTAAAAACAGAAAAAAGTATTTTATGAATTTACTTTTACTTTGGGCTTTTCTGATTTGAATGAAAAATTTAACAACTACTTTCATAGGTTTTCAATACTATTTCCTCAAAAATTCATTATTTTCCCCCTAAAAAAACAGTGCTTAGGATCCATTTAATGTTGATGCGGATACGGATCCGTATCCGGATCCTGGATCCGCACTGGGAAAAATGGATCTGGATCCAGGTCATTTCTTTAAGATTTACTGAATTTTTTTTTAAAAAAATAATTTTCAAATTATTTGTTTTATTTTTTTCGCTTGTTTTTATCCTAACACTTGATAAACCATTCAAAGATGAGGAAATTTTTATAATCTCTCTTTTTTCAAAAGTTCAGAATTAGGGTTTAGGAGTAAAAAAGTTTTGTTTTTGCAGTTTTTGGTTGATATTTTACCCCTTGGATCCGGATCCGTGGATCCACATATTTTTGCGGATCCGGATCCAGGAAGCCAAAATCTTGCGGATCCAACGGATCCGGATCCTAATCACTGCTAAAAAAAATTTCATTTTGGTGGATTCAGTCAAGCAAAAAATTCATAATACGACAATCATATGAGGAAAAATATGTAATAATTGAAATTCTTATATGAGATTAAATAATCTTGATGTTTAACGAAGGCCGCAGGTCTAAGCTAAAGAATGCATCAAGATTATTTCATCGAATTCCTTTATCTCATTTTTATCCTTATAAGATTAATAATATATCATATTTGTGAGGTTCCATGAGGAAACTACCCAAGAAATTTCATTTTTTTAATTCGTGTGAAATACGACTATATTAAGTTGGAACAATTGACATCATGAAGGAAAAGTTGGTTCTTTATTTGTAAATAATGCATGTGGTGTTATTGTTTCCTTAGTTTGTTTGGTTAGTTAGTATGGTGTGCTAAGACCCAAAATAAATATTCTTCAACTAGTCTAATAATTTCCTTTCTTCCACGTTCTGACTGTGTAATAATTTCCATTCACACACGTTCTGACTGTGTAATAATTTCCATTCTTCCACATTCTGACTAATAATCTATTCTTCCACGTTCTGACTGTGTAATGATTTCCATTCTTCCACTTTCTGACTGTGTAATAATTTCCATTCTTCCACGTTCTGACTGTGTAATAATTTCCATTCTTCCACGTTCTGACTGTGTAATAATTTCCATTCTTCCACGTTCTGACTGTAATAATTTCCATTCTTCCACGTTCTGACTGTGTGATAATTTCCATTCTCTCACACGTTCTGACTGTGTAATAATTTCCATTCTTCCACGTTCTGACTGTAATAATTTCCATTCTTCCACGTTCTGACTGTGTGATAATTTCCATTCTCTCACGGTCTGACTGTGTAATAATTTCCATTCTTACACGGTCTGAGCGTTAAAGAATGAAAATTCTACATCCCCCGTGTAAACATAAGCATTCTTAAATGCTAGGAAGTGAACAATATTGGAAAGTTTTTCTCTTGAACCGTGTTATAATGGGAATTTAACTATGGAACTGAACAGCGGATATTATATAAAACATTAAAGCTCTGAATGTTGTAGAGTTTAATGTTTTCAGTCGATAATAAAATGCTATTTAATTCACTTTAAACTATGACCATTGACTAATAAGCAATTATTAAATTTATTCAGTTTTAATTCACTGTTATTATTTATCTATTGATTTGTTTTCTAGTCATTATTAACATTCCTTTAGTTATTTTTGGTTTGTTTAATGAAACATATATTCACAAAATTATATTCTTAATCTTCAATCAAGGTTTGAAGAAGAAGTTTGTTCTTTCAATTTAAAGGTAGTTTTTAAAATTTGGTTATTTGTTTTCGTCATGACTAATAGAGGTGTAATCATGTTACTCTTAAAAATTACCGAATCTTAATTCAGACTATTAAGATTAAACAAAAACAACTGTGGCCTGCTTCCCAAATTACGTAATTTTTACATTCAAATTGCGTAATTTTTACATTAAAATTGCGTAATTTGACGTATTTGCGTAATTTGGCGTAATTGCGTAATTTGGCGTTATTGCTTAATTTGGCGTATTTGCGAAATTTGGCGTAATTGTGTAATTTGGTGTATTTGCGTACTTGCGTAATTTTGCGTAATTGCGTATTTTACCAGGTGATATCTCTATGCAACGAATTCATCACATATGATAATGTGTACAGAGCCAAATTTAGCGCCCTCACCTCCCAGGAACTGGTTTCAGCTTATGAGAATCTAGCCAGGCGGGTCCAAGGTTTACGCTTGCTTATCAAAGGCATTTCCTAACGGGGCTTTAAACATGAGTTTAAGCAAACCTCAATTTATGAAGTGGCATGTCTGATGAGCGGGGGAAGGCAGGCGGCCATGAGCCACCACTATTTCCCCTTCCGGGCCACATATTAGCTTTTTTCTCTTCCGGCAGCCATGAGCCACCACTATTTCCCCTTCCGTACCACCACATTTGACTCTTCCGGGCAAAACTACTTTTACTTGAAATATCACAAAGTCTAATGATTATTCAATTACTGACTCATTATACTAAATCCATCTTAAAATCACTCATTAACCAACTTTGTGATATTTCAAGATGCTCATGGCTCATGGCTGCCGGAAGAGAAAAAAGCTAATATGTGGCACGGAAGGGGAAATAGTGGTGGCTCATGGCCACCTGCCTTCTCCCGCTCGTCTGATTGCCAAAGGTGCCATTAATCCTCTATTTGATTAACATAAGGAAGAAATCGCCATTATAGTTTTTATAGGAACATGCGTAATTCTGATAATTTTCTTCATTGTCTCTGCAGTGAGAGAGAACTTGCCACTGAAAATAATCAGTCATACAAAAAAAAATCGTTCAATCTTCATCAGACAAGCCACTTAAAAGTCACTTGCAATTATTTGCACAGTTCCAATGATACGGGGGGGGGGGGGGCAATTTTGATTATAAATAAGATTTACAAAAAGGACAGAAGGTTACCAAAATCTCAATAAACATTGGACTTATTGCCCAGACCGGATAAATATGCAGCAATGAGTGTAGATGCACGTCAGGAGCTTGATCTTAAGATTGGAGTTGCATTTAGCAGGTCAGTAGTTCCTTGGAATATTTAGCAGGTCAGTAGTTCCTTGGAATATTTAGCAGGTCAGTAGTTACTTGGAATATTTAGCAGGTCAGTAGTTACTTGGAATATTTAGCAGGTCAGTAGTTACTTGGAATATTTAGCAGGTCAGTAGATACTTGGAATATTTAGCAGGTCAGTATAGATACTGAGCAGGTCAGCTAGTCAGTGTTAGACAAAAATCACATTGTTAAAGGTTTCAGGCCAGAGTTGGTTTAATTTAGTCCTCAATAAACACTGTACCCCTGTTAGCCCTGATGAACATGTTAGTCCTGATGAACATGTTAGCTCTCATGAACAACTTCACTCATGAGCCATCAACACCTTTTGTAGGTTTCTTCTGAATAGATATATATTAAACTAAGAGAAATATAAAATATTTTTTTTACCATTAAATCGCATGCCAACAGAAAAGGTGATTTTAAGGCCATTTTTGAACATTTCTTTATTTAAGTGATAAACTTGTTGTTAAATCCACAGTTTTCAACTTAGAATGGTTCGATTTCATTTTGGGAATCCCAGACACTTCTCTTAAAGACAAAGGTATTGAAATTTCATTGTTTGAAAATTTGTCAATTCTTTTTGCAACTTTGTCGATGTTTTTGCCACGCACTTACACCTTAAGAACACCACCTTAAAAGTTTGCCATATTTCTTTCTTCTGTATGTCTTCGTAACAACCTGATCATGTTTCGATACAACCAGATCATGTCTTTTGTAACAACCCGATCATGTCCTGGGGACAAAAAAAATCTCTTTTTTTTTATTTCTTCTGTTTTTTGTATAGTGAAATGTTCCTTAAATATGCTTGTTTAAATTCTTATATCTTCAGAAATGGTCGACCTGTGAGTATTTATAAAAAAGAAACTTTAAGCCTATTTTCAAAAATTCTAAATTTTCTTACACATTCAATGTGTGTAAAGACTTGTTTAGTTTTTGCTACCATAATAATCATTATGGTAAAATTTAATAATTTCAAATAAAGTTCAAAAATCGCGTTTTTTCTGTTGGCGGCATCCTATATAATGGTAAATAATAAGATTTTTAATGATTCATCTTAGTTTCACATATACCTATTTAGAAGAAAAGCTATTTTTACAGGGCCGCCCCAACCTTAGGCCCCAATGAGCACGTTAAGTTCTGATAACGGCTATAAACCAAAGAGAATAGAATATATATTAGAGTGGAATTTACTAGAAAAAAGTGTAAAACGGCCATTTTGTTGTACTGTTTCCATACTGCAGGTATACTTCACATATTTGTGCTATATAACCTTTTGGGCCCTGGAACATCATTTTATAGAAAATTTAAAATTAATATTTAAAGAAAATTTAATTATGAAATTGGCTGGTTTCATAATTGACCAATGAACATTTCACCTAATTCATTTTATAAAGTTTATTTAACAGCTTTAAAAAATTCGAAGTTGAAATGGATAGTCTAGTTAACATACTGTATTAATGTACTCAACTGCATATAATTTGTGAACATTTACATGATTTGTACACTTTGAACTCCCTTTCAGACTGAAAGAGACTGACAAAATTCATACCGAGGGATTGTCTAAATTCCACTCTAATATATATTCTCTCTCTCTTTGGTATCAACCCTAATATATTTCAGAATCTTATTTCTCTAGACTAATGACTAGAGCATACCTGGATCAAGCTAAAGCCAAGTTTAGACTAAAGGATCAGAAGGTATATCTATCTATTAATTATCTATTATGTATATCAATCTAAACATCTATTTGTCTGTATCTATCTATTAATCTGTTTATTTATATGTTTAAAATGTTTATTTTTATCTTTTTCTGTGTGTGTCTATCTAACTATTAATCTGTTTGTCGAATGTGTAATCCATACATCTATCTATTTTTCTAACAATATACTTAATGTTTGGATTCTACGGATTTTTTTTCAAATTGTACGGATTGTATTTTAAGCCATGAAATGCACTTTTTTTACTCATTTCAACAAATTTTGCATGAAAATTTTCAACAAAAAAATCTCGTCAAAATTAAGTTAGTTAAACTTATTTTCTGCATTCTAAATATTATTAGGTTAATTGCTGATTCAGTTGACAATCAAAATGTTTTCAGAATTTTTCTAGGATATTGATTTTTGCTAAATAATGAGTTTTTCAAAAAGAAAACAAACAAGGAAACCCATCATAATGAAAAGAAGTTAAAGGCTAAATGCCATAATTAAAGATTTTTAGATTTTAAATGTTTATCCTGTTTTTCCTCTCATTCTCATCCTAATTTACTTGTTTTTCCTCTCATTCTCATCCTAATTTACTTGCTTCTCCTCTCATTCTCATCCTAATTTACTTGCTTCATCATCCTAATTTACTTGTTTCTCCTCTCATTCTCATCCTAATTTACTTGTTTTTCCTCTCATTCTCATCCTAATTTACTTGTTTCTCCTCTCATTCTCATTCTTATTTACCTGTTTTTCCTCTCATTCTCATCCTAATTTACTTGCTTCCCCTTTCATTCTCATACTAATTTAGTTGTTTCTCCTCTCATTCTCATCCTAATTTACTTGTTTCTCCACTCATTCTCATCCTAATTTACTTGTTTCTCCACTCATTCTCATCCTAATTTACTTGCTTCTCTCATTCTCATCCTAATTTACTTGTTTTTCCTCTCATTCTCATCCTAATTTACTTGTTTCTCCACTCATTCTCATCCTAATTTACTTGCTTCTCCTCTCATTCTCATCCTAATTTACTTGTTTTTCCTCTCATTCTCATCCTAATTTACTTGTTTTTCCTCTCATTCTCATCCTAATTTACTTGTTTCTCCTCTCATTCTCATCCTAATTTAGTTTTTTTCCTCTTATTCTCATTCTTATTTACTTGTTTCTCCTCTAATTATAATCCTAATTTACTTGTTTCTCCTCTCATTCTCATTCTTATTTACCTGTTTTTCCTCTCATTCTCATCCTAATTTACTTGTTTCTCCTCTCATTCTCATACTAATTTACTTGTTTCTCCTCTCATTCTCATCCTAATTTAGTTGTTTCTATTTATCTAACTATCCAACTATCCAAGTTTCTAACTATATATCTATCTCTCTATCTATTTATTAATCTATCTATCTAGGTGATTAGTTTTGGTCCCTGTCAGACTCCTACATTATGGTTCTGTGTGCAGAGACACAAACTTATTAAACAATTTAGGTCAGTTAGGTGTATATGTATATATTATATATGTAATTAATATCCCCGAGTACTATATCAGGGAAACCTGATGCCTTATCTATATTCCTTTTAATAACTATTATCATTTTATGCACACTTCGTAATCAAATAAAAGATTAACTTTATCGTTCATGAACCTTGTAAATATATATATATGTCCTAGTTGGGTGCTCGTCACGCCGGTCACCCTATTTGACCTGCAACCTTATGTTTCAATAAATGGTTAGTTAAGTGTAAAACCTCGCGTTGAAGAGACCTGGCTTAAACCCTAGGTAGAGAAGACAGAAATACAGTGCGTTTTCTGTAGTTAATCTTGACTCGGGAAGACTGGCATTTTGTGACATATATATATGTATATATATAGGCCCTTCTATACATTTTAATTCTACTTTAGGAGTATATATTTTATTTAAACAATTTAGGTCAGTTAGGTGTATATGTATATATATATATATATATATATATACATTGGCCCATTCAATACATTTTAGTTCTACTTTAGGAGTGAATATTTTATTCAAAAATTCTCCCCCTCCCGGCCTCTTGCTCATCATTGAAAACCATTTGGTACATTTACTATGAAGTTTGTTCTCATCCTTTTTAAATCTTGATACTTGATACTTAAAAATTCTTTAATTTTCCCCCAATTGCGCGAACAAAACACATCAGGTGGGCAAGTATAAGACTTCGCCAGGTCTCTTTGGCCTAGATAGGTAGGTTGGGCTGTCACGTCCGGGGGGGGGGGGGCTTTCAGATCTATTTCCTGATACTCCTGATATACCCCTGTTCATTGTTGTAAATTTAAGAATTCTGAAATACGCCAGTGCCTGAGTAGTTAGTTTTGTTTCATACGCCAATAAGATTGCTTAAAGCTTAGCAGTTGAATCAGTTCAACTAGATAGTTTTCATTTTTAATAAATGTGTACCCATCTTCTCAAACTTTAATGGGGAAAAATAATTTTAATTTTGATTCTCTTATTAAATATTTTAGATTTAAATCCCAAATTTATTTAAATTATTTTTTTAAAGAATGTTAGCTATTGTTGGCCAAGCGACTGGACCAAATTGGCTGAATTTTTTTCAGAGACCCCATAAGTGCCCTGGGGTTACAACGACAATATTTTTTTCAAAAAATTAATTTTTATTTAAAAATCGAAATTAAATTCCACGGGCAAATAGTATTAAATATGATTGTTAAATTGGATTATAAAAATTATTTTTAGGCCTGAAGAATATTATACTTTGAGAGTCTTAGCAGACATTGCAGGTAACATTATGAATTCAGTTTAAATGGATTATTGTGTTTTGTTTGGAATAGCAGAGTCATATCATATGAAACAATTGAAGTAAATGAATTGAGTTTTTACCACAAACTCTGGTCTTCTAAGCCCTATATCTTTGGATTCCAACGTCGCAAACCTTTGACATTTCAAACTATGACTTTTTAAGATCAAATAATATAAGTTTGAAATATCAAAGGTTTACGACATTGGGTTCCAAAGATATACGGATTAGAAAATCATAGTTTGTTGCAAAGACTCAATTCCTTTTCAGAAAACATCACATCTTACATACACATTGGTTAATATGAATGAATGAAATGAGTTTAGGTCGGAAACTAGAATTGGTCTGGGCGGACGGTACTACAATAACATCAAGGTAGAAAGACAGATAGACAGATATACAGATAGACAGATAGACAGATAGACAGATAGACAGATAGACAGATAGACAGATAGACAGATAGACAGATAGACAGATAGACAGATAGACAGATAGACAGATGGACAGATAGACAGATAGACAGATGGACAGATGGACAGATGGACAGATGGACAGATGGACAGATGGACAGA